TTAAAACCACGCCAGTTAACTCAATGACAGGCTTTATGATACAACACGCGTGTGCTAACCATTCGGCCATCCAACCCCCCGAAATGAAATGAAATAGAAATGAAATGAAATGAAATGGTGTTTATAACGTCCTACTGTTCTGCTCTTAACCTGGGCTAATAAAGATGGGCATATGCCATACAGTGTGCTATGAGGGAAATTTGGCCCGGGCAGCGGCGCTACGGCCTACTCTTATATTGAATTCCAATTGCTAAGGGATTTTTTACGTGCACGCCAATGTGTACACGGGACCTCGGTTTTTCGTCCCGTCCGAACGACTAGACAGCTGTCCTTGTCAGGCCCTCCGTCCTGCATTACTGACAAAGGGTAAGGAAAATCTGGATGAACTTTCTCGGCCAGTGCAGGGATCGAACACCCGACCTCCAGGCTAGCGAGCCAGCGTCTTACCCACTTAGCCACGTGATCCCCCTGAAATGAAATAAAATAGGGTTTGACGTCATACTTTTCTTCACCATCCGAATAACGGTGCTGTGATGTGTTCTTATTTCAAATACCAACTGTCAAAGGTTCTTTTACATGTGCGCTAACATCCGAAGGACTGAATGCTGTTCCTTACCAGGCACTACATTCGGCACCACTGTTCTTTTCTATGTACCGTACAGTGTATAAGATGGGTGTTGGCATGGCTCCCTATATTTAAAGTGAAGCCCTTGTTAATAAAATATTAGGGTCACCCCCAACCCATATGCTGTTAAACTGATAGATTCCATTATATTCCTGAAGCAATGGTCAATTATTAACCAGAGGACAGAAAAATGATTGAGTAATTCTTCAAAGCTGTATATCTAGCCTCAAGACTATATTCAGAGGGGTTGGATGGTCAAATGTTTTATTGCGTGCATTTAAGATCATAAGGTCGGTCATTGAGTCAAGTGGTGTGATTCCCAAGCTTGTACATGGCAAAGAGTTGGGTTGCTTGTCCAACCTCGTGGATTTCCTCTGAGCCTTCCAGTTTCCTCCCAGTGCTGAAGTTCCCTATGTGCAAGCATATTATTGTCCCCAGCCTTTCAAAGAAAGCAAGGGGCTATTAAAATATGTCCATCTGTCTGTCTGTCACACTTTTTGGAACACAATAACTCTTTCAAACTTGGCGTAGGTGTTTATTAGGTCAATGCCTTGATGGAATTCGAAGATGACCATTTCTGCTTAGGGTAAGCAAAGATAAACAATTTCATTGGTTGATGTTTTGGGACACCATAACTTTAGTTCTGATTAAATGCATTGAGTGGACATTAGACACTATCTTTCTCTCTCTTATGGAATAAGATTAAGCGCAAGTCAGTTTGTTTAGGAAGTTTAGTTCCATTTATGGCTTACTCTATTGATGGTTGAATAAACAATCGGTTATATCTCAGCATCGGCTATATTTATGGATCCCAGAATGTAAAATTCATTTATTATTGGCAATTGTTTGGGCGAATCAAATCGAAGAAGGAATATCATTTCAATAATTTAGAAATATAACCGGTAATCAAATTGACAGTTTCAATTTTCACTCTCGAGCTTGTGGTGAATAATCTAGATAAAATAGTAAGTCTGATCACAATTGCTGTTATATACGTGTCTCTAGCGTGAAGCCAACTCAGCAGTCAATAATGAACGCTTGCTCCATATACCCTAGTTCTCTCTTGTTTTATTGCTGTCTGTTTCTCTAACCACGAACTCTCGATGTTAATTGAATCTTGACACAATGTGATTGCTTGCCGATTCTCTGCATGTGGCTTCCATTAATGCTTTCACTAATGCTAGGTAATTTAGGTATACCAATTCTGGGACGTCTTGTTTCCACTGAGAATTGCATGCAAGTTGTACTCTGTATACTGCTGAATAGTTTTTCAAAATCAGCACATAAATTTTATTGATTAGTACCGTTATAGTGTGACTGACTGCGATTGACAATGTCGGCCATCAAAGAGATGGAAAAGCAAAGCGTCTACTCACAACTAGCCCGTGTCATGTTGAACTGTAATAAAATCACAACATTGTTAACGAACATTTCCGCTACAACAAATAAAATCTATTGATTCGATAATTTATTTGTTATTACAACTAATTACTGTGTAATTTCTGTAGATTTATATTGTAAGAACGTCAAAATTACATACTGATGGTGTTTAATATTTGGCATTAGACATGTCTTCATGATTGACAAAATGTCAGGCACTAATGAAATAGTACCTGACATTTTCAACTTAGTGCCGAACATGTATTAATAATATCAATAAAAAAGACATATCAGTGCCGGACAGAATGACAGGCACCAGTGGTTTAGTGCCTGAATCTGTGCCTGACATTGCCTGTGACAGGTGCCTTATTTCCAGGCTTGCAAAATGATAGAGAATGTGGCATCTGTCACAGGTTCAGATTCATCCAGATGCATAGACTCACACACACCAGTGAATTATTGAGATAAAATTGATCCATATGTTAGTCCCGAAATGTCCTAGATTGTATTGAGTGGATGTTAATAAACCCTATTTCCCTCTCTCTGGTTCGGGGGGGTCACAGTGGCTAAGTGGGTAACACGCTGGCTCACTAGCCTGGAATTCAGGTGTTTGATCTCTGCATTGGCCGAGAAAGTTCATTCAGATTTTCCGGCGTGGTTCCCCCGATGTCAGTGATGCAGGACGGAGGGCCTGACAAGACAGCTGTCTAGTCATTCGGATGGGACGAAAAACCTAGGTCCCCTGTGCAATTGGACTTGCACGTAAAGATCACTGGAAGTTGAAATTCGATATAAGAGTAGGCCGTAGTGCCGCTGTCCGGCAAAATTTTCCTCATGGCACACTTTATAGCGTATGCCCATCTTCATTAGCCCAGTTCGGAGCAGAACAGTAAGACATTAAACCCCATTTTATTTCATTTCTCTCTCTGGTTCACAAACCAGTAGGTGCAAGGTTTGATCTTGATGTTCCTCCAGCAAGTTGTCTAGTCATTCAGATAGGACAATAAACTGACGAGGTCCTGTGTATACCATTGGCAGCAAGTTAACATCCTTTGACATTTGAAGGTCCAAATAAGAGTAGGTCATAGTGCCACTATCCAGGCAAAATTACCTTCATTGCAAATTACATGGTAGCGTACGCCCATTTTCATTAGCCTGGTTTCTTGTAGAAAATACATATGATAATAACCCATTTCATTTCTCTTGTTGCTATGAAATTATCAACTGACAGCAAATATTTAAATCACATCAGAAAAAAACCCAAACCAAACCGCCATGACTGTCTCTATCTTTATGCCAAAACGATTTAATTTAGTTCTTTAGAATTTGATAAATAAATAGCTACTGCAGTAGCTATGAAATTATCAACTGACAGCAAATATATAAAAAAAATTATGAAAAAAAACATACCACCATAAAACTCTAATCTTTAGGTGAAACCAATATAATTTTAGCTATTTAATAAATACCTACTGTAGTTGCTATAGCAATGTTTTGTTTAAAATTTCAAAAGTTATAAATTTGGATTTTAAAGCTTTTGAAAAGAGCAGCCAACTACCTTTTTTTTTTTTCTTTTTTTCCCTAAAAAATAGAAAGTAGAAATTTTAATAGGTGTTTGCGAACAACAGAAATTCAAATTGATGTGGCCTTACTCGAGTTGTAGAGTTATTTATTGATGTAGTTATTGAATAAACGTGATTGATTATTGACAAATGAACGACCAGTAAAAGATTGGAGTAATAAGAATGGAGTGTTGACACAGACAAGCATCACTGTGACGATTTATCGGTCTGTGTTGACCTAAGTTGATCAAGTAGCCCAAGTATCTCTTTATTTTTGTATCGACCTCAGCAACTGATTGACGACAATTGATCTACATGTCGAAAATAAATCTAAATTGAAAGAGACGTTACAAAAATAAACTATCTTGCCTTAAGTAGAACTCGATAACCTGCATGTCTGAATATAGATTTATTTTCGACCGAAATTATTTGCGAATTTTATTCTCCGTCTGTTTTGAAATGCAGCAGTAAAGTTCGCTTTTCAGGATCTAAACATTTTCCTTTTATTTTCTCATTGGTACTTTACTCATAATAGGAGGACCCCACCACACACAAACAGAAACCCATTAGACAAACCTGTGGACAGGACACACAATACACTAACATAGCAAGCAATAAGCAATAAATGTATATATCAAATCACGTGAATCGATACAGAGGCCCAGTCCTGAGTTCACAAAGCATTCTCAGGCTTAAGTTAAGAATTTACTCAAAATTTTTCGCCTTATTTTAACTAAAATATAGCCCTTTATAAAACTTTTGTGGTTTTAATGTATCAAATACATCAATAAGAAACCATGTGCAAAGTTTTGTGTTTCTGGATCAAAGATATTTCTCATAAACAGTGATTGAAAGTTGAGTAAATTCTTAACTGAAGACTGAGAATGCTTAATTAAACTGGGGCCCAATTCCGTAGCTGTAGCAAACTTTCCCAAAAATACACCAACCAAGGAATAAAAATAAACAAATATTTCATGTTGATTTCATTTTTATATTCCATTATACCACACTCATTTTTTACTTCACTTGTATAATTTTGTAAGTCTTCATTAGCCCGTCTTGATATGGTAACAAAGGAGTTTATTTATGCAAGCAAACTAATTTGCTAAATGTCAACATATTTTTTATTGTTGCAAGAAATAATGCTTTAATCTTTCATATCATTTCATATTTTATATTGTATATATAATCTATGAAGTATTGTATGTATATGTTATATTATATATATTGTATGGTATATATAATCTATGATGTATATTGTATATAATATATTGTGTATTGTACTTTATATATAATCTATCATGTATTGATATTGTATATGTTATATTGTATAAATATTTTATGGTACATATAATCTATGATGTATATTGTATATTTTATATTGTATAATTTATATTGTTGTATATTTGATTTATTTTATATTGTATTTTCAGGATGATATGGTATGTTTGAGTTGTGCTGTTTCATCGTCTAAGGATGCCAGTACAACAGAAAGAGTATGTCTTGCAGCAGAGGGGTTTGGAAATCGTATGTGCTTCCTTGAAGATGTTTCAAATAAGGTAAACATGCTACATGTATTTTGATTTAAATTTATTGTTTTTCTTCCAGAACGCCCATTACAATTTTGCTTGTAATTTCTTCTTTATGCAGTAGGCAAAATGGAAGCGAACGAAAGCACCCACTTTCCTCCAAATGTCGATGAATCGACAATAATGTAATAATAGAATTGTTTCTTCAAAGCTGTTCGCCATTTTGTTGATCACATGATAAATAAATTAACAGTCACATGTTAAAGTAGCTAAGTCTCTAACTCAGTATCATCAAAAATCTTCGACCTTGAAAACACGAATTATTTGTCAATTCAAATCAACATTAGTCTTGTGATCTTACAGGGAAAAGATGGGCTTCTGATATCCAATATTTAAGACAAAATAAACATTTTACCATTGGTACACGAATCACGTACTATAATGCTTGTCAGCGCCATTTGGAACAAGGGACTCAAAGAACAGGGCTAGACATATTCCACAAGTCATGTTAAACGGTGACGCTATATTCTTATCTGGAGAGCATGCACAATAAATACCATCAGTGTAGACTGGAAAAACCAGATGCTAAAGATTGCCATTCACATGAGACTTCTGGCGTATTTCGCCGAACATAACTGATTAGAAATTACTGTAAAAACAGAAACGATTGAATGTAAATCAGTTTATATACAGTTCATATTACATTATTTTATGCGTTGCGACCCATTTTTGTCAATTTCTAGGTCCCAAATATTAGAGAATTAGCTCCTTTAAGTGTAATCACAATAAGTTGAGAGTCGACATAAGCGCCCCGAACTCAGTTGCTCTCGATTGCCCTCACTTGCTGATATGATCGACATAAAGCACACTTGCAACTACTTCAGAGCAGTCGACATAAGCCCTGCTAAAGGATTCAAAAACAAACCAAAGGCTTAGTTATATTTTATTAATTTGTCTCCTTATGGTAAAATTTTATAAGAATAATAAACTGAGATAAATCTTTTCTTACTGAAGCTGAAATAATGAATACATATAAATCAGACCGCATGAACGTAATCTGTATTCAGATTGAAACACCTCTAATGGTGATTGACAGTTCTGGAGACGAGCCAATTTGAATAGTACTCTGGTCTCTCTGTTCAATGTACATGTGAGTTTCATCCTTACCATATGGATTGATTATGTAATGAAATGATAGTAATTAGATACAGACTTACAGATTCCTTAAAATGGATGAATATCACCTATCAATAGACTTGATTAATGGCACAGTGATCCAGACTACTCACATGTATCTCAAAAGTATTAGAATATGTACTATGTTAATAAAGAGAGAGATTGGATTTAACTTCTACTCGACACGAACTAGGTCATTAGATAAAAAGCTGAAAGTTATTGCTACAATAGTTAAGAGATAGAAAATGTAAAGGGAATACGCTGAAAATTCCAGTTAAATTACTTCACTCTGAGCCAAGAAATAACACTGTAGCTTCGGTTGTCATCGTTACCCTTGTTACGATAATAAACAAAGTCTCTATTATCCACTTTTGCCTTTAATCATGAACAGCTGTTGAATCAATCGCAGATTGGATTCAAATCTGTTTAAAATAGGACCCATCAAATGTCATCAGAGTTGAATATGGTCTTGTCATGTTAATAAATATGTCTAATTAATAGTTTATATAATATTTAAGGCCTAAAGAAAGACCTGCTACAGGCAGATTTAGCTCTTGCATAATGTATGGTTAAATATAAATAGATAAACAGTATAGTTGTCGACATGGTCTCCATGCAAACAAGGAGTAAATCACTGAGATAAATATAAAAATAACAATCTATTCACAATCAGACAGTCATCATATTGACTTGATTCCATGAAATGTGTAATGAAGATTTATCACATGATTCCAGCACCTTGATCCACAAACTACATCATTCATTATCTCATATTACAATCATGTGTGCTTCACCTTAGTCCTATTGTCTACACTATATTCATGCCTTAATTAAAGGGACAATAACACTCTTGCTGGCTTGACAGCTCCAGAAAATAAAAAATAGCCTTATTCTTAGTACTAGATGTGTTAGTGTCTTACCTGTTGTGTAAATTATCCATTTTATCCTATTTTACTTGTCCAGAGGGTTCAAAAATATTTTTAAATCCAAGTCACATTTGAAAAGCTTTACGCCAGGCTTTTCAAATCATTTAGTTGAATTTTTTCAATTTTTTTAAATTAGGTGTGTTAAGTTGAAATTTGTATCATCAATTAATTGGAATATTGTAAAATAGTGCAGTTTGTTGACCAGAATAAAGATTGAGACATATTATTCAGTTACAACAATTTTACTTGTCCAGAGGGTTCAAAAATATTATTAAATCCAAGTCACATTTGAAAAGCTTTACGCCAGGCTTTTCAAATCATTTAGTTGAATTTTTCAAATTTTTTTAAATTAGGTGTGTTAAGATGAAATTTGTATCATCAATTAATTGGAATATTGTAAAATAGTGCAATTTGTTGACCAGAATAAAGATTGGGACATATTATTCTGTTACAACAAGAGTGGTATTGAGCCTTTAACCCTTTAGCCATTCAGGATTATTTACCCAATATCACACAATACTAATTAAATACTACCACATACTACCTTATTGTAAAAGAACAAAAGCAATACTTTAAATATATAAACAAAAACTGAATTAATGTGCAGAATTAGCAAAATTTTTACGAGAAACTGGAAAAGTTTTTCATAGAATCAAGCGTCCGAAAGTCCAGCCAAATACTACCAAATATGTCTAAATTCTAGCCCAAAACTACAAACTTCAACCATATACTACCTTATTAATTTCCAAAACTGACAAAATTATGCAATTAGTTCAATTACTTCAATATCATTGATTTAATTCCTATAAAATATACAGACATTTGAAATATCTATTTATAGTATCAGTGATAAATGACATGGCTAAATATTGAATTAATGGTTTATTCTCCACAAATAGTCATGTTGTTATTCAAATAATTGTACTTTTTGATAATATTGGCCCATTATTTACAGCAATGGTTTGATTTCTGATAGTATGGGTTATTAGTATTGGGTGATCAAGGGAGGTAACTGAAACATCGACACATGGGCCATCACTTTTGCCATACATTTTTGCAAGTTTTCAACGAATTAACTCAATTTTTTTTTATATGATTAAAGTATTCTGTTACTTTTTCACAATATTGAAGTAGTATGTGGTCGTATTTGGTATTATTAAGATAGTATTTGGTTGTATTAGATAGTATTGGGTAAATCGTCCCACCCCTTAAGCACTTAAACCACTGGAGTTCGCCCAAATTAAATTAAGAAAACAAAACCAAAATATCAACAATAGACCATTCCGTCAGATTAAAGATTACAGCTGGTGCTTGCTTACTTTGACCATTTCCCATCTATATCATCTGCAGAAGATACCAATTCTGATATTTCTTTTAGAACTCCCAGAAAAAAAAATATATATTTGGTACAAAAAACATCAAATCTTCCATGTTACTTCAACCTACTTGATATCATTTATAGGCAATTGATTTCATTGGTCGTTTACATGTAAGTTTGCAAGGAATGTCGTCTAGTCATTGGATGAAGGGTAGGCGATAAAGCTGCTACACAGGTAAAATTTCCCCCATAGCACACTACATGGCATATTCCCATCTTCATTAGCCCAGTCGGTGCAAAAAATTAGGATGTTAAACTCCATTTCATATCTAAAAATTTGTATGAGTCAAAACACACCAAAATTACTATTATATACTTTGGTTTAAAATTTCCATAATACACCACAAACCTTTGCCCTGTGTAACTTCAAATTTAGATTGGCTAATCCGTTCCTGTTTCCTGAACCTATAGGCTTCAAAGAAAATAGGTGAGATGTCGAAAAATTATCAGCATCTGATATTAATCTGTTTGTTTTCTCTCATCAATGTTGTTGTATTTTTTTCCAGGATGTACCACCAGATATATCAGTATCAGTATTTGTGTTGGAACAAGCTCTTTCGGTCCGTGCTTTACAGGAGATGATCACATCCGCATCCCAAGGTTCCACGGTAAGTCAGCATATATTATCTTACTAACCGCAGTCCATATAATAAAGGGCATCTTTAAAGCTGTCATTACAGTCAGCATATATCTTATGCATCTTTAAGAATGTCATTACAATCAGCATATGTCTTGCTAACTGCAGTCGATATATAATAAAGGGCATCTTTAAAGCTGTTATTGTTAACAGACAGATTAAAAATTGAGCCCTTACATCGCATATGAAAATTCAAATAACAACATCCTTCTGTTACATGACATCTTTGCCAGTTTTGGCAGATGGTCATTTTTTGGATGTATTTACTCTCACTAGCAAGACATTTTTTTTTCAAAGAATATGGCAATTTTTAGTTTTATCCCATTTTTTTTAGATATTTTTTTACAGTGTTTATAAGTGTATTATATTTTTTTTATCATTAATTTCTTTGAAATTCTAATTTCATGGGTAGTAATTTGACTTGCAACTTAGGGGGTTGGATGGCTGAATGGTTAGTACCTGTGCACTGTATCATAAGGTCTGTCATTGAGTCAACTGACATGGTTTTGATTCCCTGGTTGTACGGTTGTACGTGACAAGGAGTAGGATTGCATGTCCAACCTTGTGAGTTTTTTCCTGGGTCCTCCGGTTTCCTCCCACTGCTAAAGACCCCTACGTGCAAGCGAATTATTAAAAAAATAAAATTGAACCATGTGTTAGTCCTGAAATGACGTAGTTTGTGTCGAGTGGACGTTAAACCGCATTTCTCTCTCTCTCTCTGACTTAAACTTAGTTCAGACAAGACTCGTAGATATGACTCTTTACATTGTACATCCAAACTACAAGAAGTAAAAATCTAAAAAAATAACATCTTGGTCGTTGATTTGAATAAATTTTCCGTGTAGATGAGCGTGACCTGTGAATTTGACGAGAGCTTAATTTAATTTATTATACGGTAAATAATCAGGTAAATGATCATAGTGACCTGTGAATATAATGAGAATCCATTACATTGAGAGATAGTCTCATTAAAAGATTTAAGTAAAAATTTAATTTAATGGCGACAGTCTGATCTAAAATCCTGTCTCTTTGATCAATCCATTAGCAAATTCCTGACAAGGTGATTAAGAGAGGGACTTTTATATATTTCTTATTTCTTCGGTTGTGCTGTTCAGAAGCTTTTAGTTCTGGGACAAATTATAAAGTTATGAAATTTTAAACAAAATGTCCTACATGTGATTCAAGTGACTGTTGATTTATCGAAGACCCTGAAGAAAACAAATTCCAATTTGTGTGGCCATACCATACATATATATATATAGAGAGAAAAAAATGGCATTTCATGTTGACTTAACACAAACTAGGTCATTTTGGGGTTAACTTGTGGTTCAATTTTATTTCAATAATTCGCTTGCGATTAAGGGGTCTTTAGCAGTGGGAGGAAAGCGGAGGACAAGGAGAAAACCCACTCCTTGTCATGTACAAGCCTGGCATCGAAACCACACCACTTGACTCAATGACAGACCTTGTGATTTCAGACGCATGCATTAAACCACTAGACCATCCAGTCATTAAGTCAACTGGTGTGGTTTTGAATCCCCGGTTGTATGTGACAAGAAGTAGGGTTGCCTGTCCAACCTCATGGGTTTTCTCTGGGTCCTCAGGTTTCCTCCAACTGCTAAAGACCCCTTACGCGCAAGCGAATTATTGAAATAAAATTAAAACATATGTTAGTCCCGAAATGACCTAGTCTGTGTCGAGTGGACGTTAAATCCCATTTCTCTCTCTCTCTCTCTCCATCCAGTTTACCCCCCCCCCCCCCCCCCCCCCCCCGTACATATATAGTAAATTGGCTTCAATTCTAAATTTTTATTTTGATGGGACTCTTGGGAAATATTAGACTATATTGTCTTTATACACCTGGGTATAATAACTAATGTAGACTGTTTTAATATATTTGAATTGTAATTTGCCGGTCTGGTAGCAATTACGATCTGCCCACTCATAATTAGATACATGTACATCATCATAAACATCATTTATTTAGGCCCCAGAGTTTTATTCTGTGTTTCATGAGCCTGCCAACATTAAAATTTGCATAATTGAAGTGCATGTGTTATGTCTAACTTTCTGTTATTCACAATACTTCATTATTTGCCATGACGGAGAGAGAAATGGGGTTTAGCATCCACTCAACACAAACTAGGTCATTTTGGGATTAACACACTTCAATTTTTTTTCAATAATTCGCTTGCGCATAGGGTTCTTTAGCAGTGGGAGAAAACCGGAGAACCCGGAGAAAACCCACGAGGTTGGACAGGCGACCCTACTTCTTGTCACGTACAACCGGGGAATCGAAACCACGCTAGTTGACTCAATGACAGACCTTATGATACAGCGCGCAAGTGCTAACCATTCAGCCATCCAACCCCCCTTATTTGCCATGAGGACAGGTCACTTTCAGACCTTTATGTCCATGTATGTAGCCTGTAAGGAGATCCTCTGTTTGATCCCAATGTTGGCCAGAAAGTTCCCTGGGGTTTTAATCGGGATTTCCCTTACATATCAATGGTAGAGAATGGTCTGCCTGGTAGCTCCTCTAAGAAAAATTAGAAATTTCGAACAAAACATTGTTCACAAGATTCTGTAACCATTTATTCATCAGCACCCTGAAGAACTAAAAAATTAAATGAGATTGGCCTTATAATAGATATACCTGTACACCATACAGATAGCCAGATGTAAATATTTTTACATTTAATGCAGCTCTGTCTGTATATCTACATGATATACCTGTATTTACCTATCTAACACTTATATCCTTCTCACATTAAGCATGTGTAATGCTCAACTTAATTCAGCTCTGTATATATATATATATATATATACATGATCAAATTAAAAATCTGTTGCATTCTGAACAGCCTTCCGCTATTTCTCTCAGTAAGCTACTAGTTTGCTATCTAATTTGAGCTCTTCGGGCTCCATTGAGAATGTGCGACTGTCACCTATATGTAGTCAGTGGAGACGTGTCATATTCTTCTCTCATTAAACATTCGTAATACGCAACCTTATTTAGCTTTGGATGTATACATGATAATATTAAAAATCTGTTGCATTGTGAACAGCCTTCACTGATTTCTCTCAGTAAGGCCGCTGAAGTCTTCAAGCTTAATTGAGAATGTGTGGCTGTCCCCTATATATGGTCACTGGGGACTGGAGTATGTGTGACATCACAGGTGGACCGGCATCATTGTTTTTCACCTGAGTTGCTTCTTCCATATTGTCTGAACATATTTCTTCAGGCTTAATTGAGAATGTAAAGCGTGAACTGATAGTTGGCTAGAGCAGGCCAGGAAATAAAGGTTTTAGATGTATCTGACAAAATGTCAGGCACTAATGAAATAGTACCTGACATTTTCAACTTAGTTCCGGACATGTATTAATAATATCAATAAAAAAGACAAATCAGTGCTGGACAAAATGACAGACACCAGAGGTTTTGTGCCTGACAAAGCCTGAATCTGTGCCTGACATTGTCTGTGACAGGTGCCTTACTTCCAGGCTTGGCTAGAGAATACTTATTTGCATGATACACATGTATTTACCTGTTAAACACTCCCATCAAAACTGTGTATAGCACAACTTAGTTGTTGGGGATTGGAGTATGTGTGACGTCACAGGTGTACCGAAGTCATTCTTCCGTAATGTGTGAACAGATAGTTGGCTAGAAAATTGCTGTTAGAAAAATGCTTATTTACATGATACAGCTGTAGTTACCTATCTAATACATCTCACATCAGACTTACGTAATGCACAACATATCATATTTTAGTCCAGCATACAGACATATTGTATTCCATCATGGTTGACTTGATGCCAAGTTACCTCTACTAGTACACACTGTACAGTATTACAATGAATCATATGGTCTTCATTACATAATCTAATGGCGTAGGTTATATTATCGAACAGAACATTCTTTCACTGAATAGATCTAAGTTTTATCTACTCCAGATGATAATCGAGAATTTATTGAATAATAGATGATGTTCTCAAGGTCGTAGACATATATGTTTAGTACATTTTAAGCATCATAGAATAACCGATAAAGAGTGTTCTTTAAATTTCTCAGGATTTTCTGGCATGGTTTCCGCTTCTCAGTGATGCAGGACGGTGTCTAGTTTTTTGGTTGGGACAAATAAAAAATCTGAGGTCCCATGTACACTGAATAGATCAAACTTTTATCTACTCCAGATGCTTATCGAGAATTTATTGATTTATAGATGATGCTCGCAAGGTCGTAGACATATATGTTTAGTACATTTTAAGCATCATAGAAAAAACGATAAGGAGTGTACCTTAAATTCCTCAGAATTTTTCCACATAATTTCCCATTGTCAGTGTCTAGTCATTTGGATGGGACAAAAAAACAGGTCCTGTGTACATGTTGGTGTGCACGTAAAGGAACTCTTGACATTAGACAGTTGGAATTCAATTCCTCTCCAGACAAAATTTCCCTCATAGCATACTGTATGAAGTATGCCCGTCTTCATTAACCCAGTTGGGCAAAAAAATTAAACTCCATTTCATAGATTCATTCAGTGTTCCTTTATGAATCAGGTCTAATATTATGTGATTCTAGCAGATCAAGTAGGATCGCTTGTCCAACCTCATGGGTTTTCTCTGTGTCCTCCAGTTTCCTCCTACTGCTAACGACCCCTGCGTGCAAGTGAATTGTTGAAATAAAATTGAACCATGTGTTAGTCCCGAAATGACCTAATTTGTGTTGAGTGGACGTTAAACCCCATCTCTCTCTCTCTCTCTAGCAGATCTAAACATTTGAAGAAAATAATTGTAAATTGTCGACAATTCAACAAAATTGATTAAGTTTAGATTTCTTTTCTGGAATCGGGCGAATCCTTGTGGCTTCTTGAATCAGAAAAAATCTGTGTGGCTTCTTGTGAAAATTTTGAAGCCCCTGCATTGCGATTTCATTGCTTTTCATTTCTAATCTCAAGTCAGGAGAATTTAGGCCACAATAGTGTGATATCATATGACCCGATGTATGTGATATTTTGAATTTAAAGATTTACTAATTGTCCAATCTGATTAAAACACAGATCCTATTTCGTTTCGTTTTTATAGTTCAAAATTTCGTTTTACTTGTCTTTACTACACTTGGATCTGGAAGAGTTGTTATTTAATTCATGTTTTGAATGTTGTCAGGGATAAGCCAATGAAACGGTCTGTTACGGCGAGCTTTAGACATGTTTTGCACAGAACTGTGGGTAAATCCACTAGTAACATCAATGCGGATTGGTTAATCAAATGTCTGACATCATAGGGTCATAAGTCGGTCTTTTGACCCCTGACGTGACCTATCGCTATAACTTGTTATATCTTCATGTAGTGTAAGCCATCGAAAGTATAAAAAAACGACACGAAATATAGATCTGTATTTTAATCAGATTGACTAATTGGCAAGAAAAGATAAAGATTATACATCAAGATATTAAAGTATATGATTGAGTTTGACTGATCTGATGACATTAGACAGGTATAGGCATACATATATCCCAGTAACCCGGGTATCATTTAAAGTAGCTAAGTTTCTAACTCAATATCATCCAAAGTCTTCAACATTGAAAACACGAATTATTTGTCAATTTAAATCCACATTGGTGTTGTTATCGTATCGTGAAAAGATGGGCTTCTGATATCCAATATTTAAGACAAAATAAACATTTTACCATTGGTACATGATTCGTGTATCATAATGCGTTTCAGCGCCATTTGTAATAAGGGACTTGAAGAACGAGGCTAGACATATTCCACAAGTCATGTCAAACAGTGAGGCCATATTCTTATCTGGAGGGCATGCGCAATAAACACTATCGTTATAGACGCTAGAGATTGCCATTCGATTGAGACTTCTGGCATATTTCGCCAAACATAGCTGATTTGAAATTAGAGTAAAAATGGAAATCGGTTTATATGCATTCATATTACATTATTATATGCGTTGCGACCCATTTGTCTCAATTTCTAGGTCCCAAATATTAGACATTTAGCTCCTTTAATCTTGTGTATCTAGCACTAATTTCTTTCACATTCGTTTAATATCAAATCTTTGTTTAAAAATTTGTAAAAATCATTTAAAATTACCCCAAATCATCTAATTTGTACTTGTGTTCAAGTACCAAGTACGAACAATCCAAACCATTAGACAAAATTTGAAGTCCTACATGTGCATGTAGTGTGTCAGGAAGGGAGATATGCTAAGTGTTCTATCAGTCATTGTAAAAAATATTCATGTATGAACTCTGTGTTTTTATGATGCTACTAATGGGGATGTTAGATACATGCGCAATAAAATCTTATCTTAGTTGACCTTGGGAAGGATTTAAAAATTTTATGTGAATTCATTCATCATTATTGCCCGAATATCAGACTGGTGTGAAAAATCTATGATTATTGCTTGAAAATATCTTCTTTGATCATATACCCCCCATCGACTCCACACCTAAGGAGAAACGTTTATTTATGATTTATAATATACTTATATTTATCTGCCACCTACTATGACAAACAGAATATTAACTAATTGATTTATTCTTGTTTTTCTTTTTCAGACTGCTCAATCAGGTCACAGAACACTACTATATGGTCATGCTGTACTTTTACGTCATTACCATGGCAATATGGTAGGCATGTTTCTTTTTTGTTCTCTGTGTTATCTGTTGCCAAGTTATATTATCAGTAGAAACATAGTTATATTGTTGTTAGATGTGTGCTGTAGTTGTAGCCAGAAGGGAGGGGGGGGGGGGGAACTAAGGATGCTCCATGTTAGAGATAATTTTGCTTCTTTGTAATCATTTGCCAAGCTATGTTCATTATCACCAGAAAAATTATCACATTATTGTAAGATGTGTGAAGCCCTTTAGCTAAAATTGTTTTTCACATGTGAATAACAGATTTTGAAGGGGGAGGCTTTGGAACCCACTTCAGTATTTGGGTGTGGGGGTGAATGGACCTACTTCAGTATTTTAGTTGGAAAGGGTCGTACTCACTTCAGAATTTTAGAGGAGGTGGGGTCAAACACACTTCAACATTTTGGAGGGAACAGGGGTTGGACCTTATTCAATATTTTAGATGGGAAGGGTCATAACCACTTGGACCTAGTTCCATGTTTTAGAGGCGGTTGTCGGACCATTTCAAAAGAGGGGGAGAGTTTGGACCCACTTGCATAATTTATATTGGGAAGGGTCAGACAAAATTCAATATTTTAGGAGAGGCTGGAGTTTGACCCCAAGTCTTGCAGATGATGATTTATTTTGCTTTAAAAATCTGAAAACAATGAAGATATAGTTTTAAAGAAAGTACGTAATGCATTAAAAAACAATGAGATTCATCTTTTAGCGCACATTTGACATACATTAATCAAAGTGAGCATTATAAATCAGCAATAATTAAAATACATACCCCCGCCCCCACCCACCCAATACCTATTAATCATGTAGTGATTAGAGCCCCCATTTATGCCAAACACATCCGTAAACTGGATCCCAGCACATAGGATGACAAACCCCACACAATATTTAAGAGCAATGTTGGGATGGCCTAGTGGTCTTGAGTGCTGCGCTTTGACCTCTAACTGGTTGGTCACCTCTGGCCTGCTTTAGTGGTTTCGATCCCTGGTGTGAGCATATGTGGCTTGGAGATAGGGGCACCTTCTCAACCTTGTGGGTTTACTCCGGGCACTTTGTGCGCTAAGAATATGAAAAAAAGGCAACTTGTCAGCGGACGTTAAACATACATTATGCAAGAGCTAAATCCGCCTATTGCAGGTCTTTCTTTAGGCCTGAAATGTAAACTAAATTATTAATTAGACATTAATCAACTGATCCAGGCCATAATCGACTTTGATGGCATCAGATTTCTCCAATATTAAATAGATTTGAACAGTTCAGTCATATTTTGATTTGATTTAAAATGGAGGAGTGAGACTTAGCTTCGAACAACCAGTACGGTGGTTGAAATTATTGCACACGTCTTGTCAAACATTCAAATGCTAATATCGTCGTTCCCAATAGAGTAATTTGAATGAAATTTTCAAATTATTAATTTTACATTATCTATTTTCGAACTATTATAGCAAGAATGGCTAGCTCTTTATCTAAATCTTATATAATATATCTTTAAGCACTAAGAACAACAACATCTACATAATTCTCAAGGAAGAAAATGTTTTATGGTTTTGGATTCTGTAAAAAGAGTCACCACATAGTTATTAATTAATATATATAAAGAATAATAATAAGCTATAGAGTTTTATACACAGTGATGTTGTTGTTCACATCTGGAAGTGTTTATAACAACTGTTACAAAATCATCTGCTTATCTCTTTCTACCCTGGCATCCATGATAATATCTTCTCTCAACTGTTACAAAATCATCTCTGATCTCATAATACGTAGGCGGCCATGATAATATGCCCTTTATGCTAGTGTTTATATCAACTGTTACATAGTTAGAAATTTATCCACTGTTGTTATTTTTGGTTTTATTTTCTTCATTAAAGAGGCATAATGTAAAATTTAGATAAAGAACTGGCTGTTCTCGCTATAGTAGTTAAAAAATAAATAATGAGAAGGGAATATGTTGAAAATTTCAGTCAAATTACTTCATTCTGAGCCGAGTTATTGCCCTTAGAAGAACAGTGTAGTCTTGATTATCCATTTTTAAATTGAATTATTAACTGTCAATTGTATTTAAATCTGTTGAAAATCTCAAGGATCCGAGGGCATCACGAGTTAATTATGGTCTTGGCAAGTTAATAAATGTCTAATTAATAATTTATATAACATTTAAGGCCTAAAGAAAGACCTGCAATTGGTAGATTTAGCTCTCGAATAATGCATGTTTAATATATTATATAACATTTCATGCCTAAAGAAAGACCTGCAATAGCCAGATTTGCCTCTTGAATAATGCCTCCTTAAATGGCTTAAGCTCTGAAATATTCAATATTGTCTGAAAAATGCATATGACGATCAGCATTTTTAATAAATTTAAAGATTAATAAAGAATGAATGAATTAATATGTGACTGTATTTTTTGTTTGTAGTATTTATCCTGTCTTTCAACAAGTTCCTCAAATGATAAATTAGCCTTTGATGTTGGTTTACAAGAATCAGCTGAAGGTAGGTTCTCTGGCAGATTTAACGATTATTATAAATGTTCAAAACAGGATACAATATTAGTTACAAAATTTTAAATTGATCTACTGCAAACTATGAAGAAATTAAAAATGAAAGAAGAAATTGCCATTATATATGTGTTCTCGGAGTATACGCAATAGCATCAGAATGGAGGAGGAAAAAACCCTCTGATCTATGATTTTATTTGTATTTTGGGACTAATTTTGAATGGACATATTTGTTTGGCTGTTATCGTTATGTTCTGGGTAGAACAAGCAAATCTGTCACCCACAAATTATTTAGTTTTACAAAATCAGATTTTGAAAATGAAAAGGACCTCCAGGTTAGCGAGTCAACATCTTAGTCACAGAGCCACCGTGGCTCCCAGATATTGAAGATGGAATGTCTCTTTATTATGTACAAAACTAAAGTGCTTGTAGTATACTTCACAATGTTCTAGAATATAAAAAAAGACAAAAGAAAGAGTTCTTGGCAAACATACTTGGGTGGTTAATCAAGGTTATGAACATGTGGTTAATCAAGGTTATGAACATATTCTAACCAAAACACCAAAACAGTTTTCCAGCTTATCTTTAGCTTGTAGGAGAAGTAACTCCATAGTACTAGTGACAGATGTTGTTATAAGACAGGGAATTCCAGAATGCTTAATACCATTCTATCAAGAACACCCAATACCATTCTATCAAGAACACCCAATACCATTCTATCTAGAATACCTGATACCATTTCTATCTAGAATACCTGATACCATTTCTATCTAGAACACCTGATACCATTTCTGTCTAGAATACCTGATACCATTTCTATCAAGAACACCCGATACCATTCTATCTAGAACACCTGATAACATTTCTTTCTAGAACACCTGATAACATTTCTATCTAGAACACCTGATAACATTTCTTTCTAGAACACCTTATAACATTTCTATCTAGAACACCCGATAACATTTCTATCTAGAACACCTGGTACCATTTCTATCTAGAACACTAAGTACCATTTCGATCTAGAACACCTGATACTGTTTCTATTCAAGAACACTATATATACCATTTCTGTTTAGACCATCAATACCATTTCTCATTTTTTAAAGAAATTTAGTTCCATTCTCATTTACTTGCCAGAATTTATTCTTTGTTACAGCTATTTTTTTTAGAGTGCCAAATCTACACAATAAAATCCAATTTCAGTATTAGTTTTGATATCTGATTCCGTGATGTGTTGTCTCATGTATCATGTATCAACTATAAATTACATATATATCTACTAGTATATCATTTAATCTATACACTATCACTCATCTAGCATGCATAAATGCGATAAATTTATTCTCTGATACAAGGAAAAATAGATCCATTGTATGATATTTGACCATATGAATTTATTATCTGATACTAGGCTAGATAGATCTTTCCTATGATATTTGACCATATAAATTTTGTGCTTTAATATTAGGCCATGTAAAAAAATATTCTGGTTCTCAGATACTGCTGCATCATTTGTGTAGTGGAACATGATCTGGTCGGTTCTTCATTGAATTCCAACTGTCAAGTGTTCTTCTACACACACAACAACAAACAAAACTACTAGACCCTGTTCCGGACCATACCCTCTGTTTTTATACGCCCACCTTGAAATGTGGTTGTATATAGACATCGCCCTCATCCGTTGCTCCAGTATCTAGAGGCTAAAGTTGACTTTAAATTTATAGTTCAAGAAGCCTATTGTATTTCGACGATTTCCGAAATCTTGTGGATGCTCTAGAGACCAAATTTATCATCCGATTGACTTTAAAGTTAAGGTCATGAGACAAAGATGCCAGAGATATGGTCCTTGATTGCTTCGAAAATTCTTGTGGATGCTCTACAGGCCAAAGTTATCATTCAGTTGTCTTTGAATTTATACACAGAGTTTAAGAGCTTGAGACGAACAAATATATTGATTTTCAATGATTTTTGATAAATTCATCCGCTAAATCTATGATATTAAATGTTTTGTATAGTAAGGGGCAGAACTAGAAGCCAAACAAATTCTAATGATTTCTGATAAATACTTAAATATGAGATGTTACTCTTAATCAGATTTGAGTGTATTGTAAATGTTTCATTACCGATAAAAGAACAAATTATGTGACAACCCTTGTTGACTGCCTGGATGACTTAGCTGCTAAAGGTATATGTTTCATTGCCTGGCAACCTATCTTTACATATTTAAAATGTTATCCTTTCCCACTATTCTAAGTCTTGGGTGCATACAATAAAGGAGATGGCCCCATGCATCACCAAATCTTTGCATGCCTCTGTGTGTATGTCAACATGCAGATTCTTCAGCTGATTCGCTTCGGATAAAATGTAGGACCTTGATCTATAGTTTTGTGTAGAAACCCAATGAGAACGCTATTTTGTTTCGGATAAAATCATAGTGACTCTGACTCTGGCCCTAGTGCTTTGAACTGATGTTAAATCCCATTCCGATCTTTCTACCTTTACAGGTGAATCTTGCTGGTGGACCATTCATCCAGCATCGAAACAGAGGTCAGAAGGTGAAAAGGTCAGAGTTGGAGATGACCTTATTCTAGTCAGTGTGTCATCAGAAAGATATCTAGTGAGTTTGAATGTTTAATTAAAATATTGATTGAGTTGTGAATCGTCAGGTATAATATATTTCCTGGAATCCCCTCAGGCATATAAAACAACAAATATTGTTCATGGATCAATCAAGATGGCAGACCTCACCTGAGGAATTTAAATAATCATTGCATTTCTATCTTTCCCGCTGAAATTGTTTTAAATTAAACATTAGGAATCAGATTCAAACAAGAATCTTTAAGGCTAATATTCCAATTTCACTAATATCATTAATATTCATATCTTTTGAAAATTACTGTGAAAGTCACTTATAAACTGCCTACAATAACTTTGATACTAGCTTTATGATATTCTGACTAATTCATAACCTCAATCAGCATATGTAAATCAGCATGATTAACATACTATAGAAATGAATTGACCAGACATCTCTGACCTTTAAAGGTATATAACCTTTGATTTCCTTCGTTTTAACTAACAATGATTAACAAATAGTAAAAATTCATTTTGAATAGCCTTGAATTCAAACAGAATATTTGTGTGCTCTGGGCCCTTATTCACGAAAACTTAAACTAAGATACAATCGAAATTTTAAGAAATACTGCAATTCGATTGGCTGACCAGTAAAATCAATTTGCATATATCCAATGAAGTTGCAGTATTTCTTAAAATTTTGGTTGTAACTTAGTTTAAGTTTTCGTGAATAAGGGCCCTGAACACTAACTCTCAGTATACATTGAGGAGATCTGTGTCATATTTTAGGTACAAAAAGATACCTTGTTATTATGTCATTAACAAGATAATAAGTATTTTTATTGGGATCACGGTTTTTGACCACGATTGGGTTCTCTAGTTTTCATTCCATGTTTTTATCTTTCAGCATATTGGCAGTAGTAATAGTATAGTAGCATCGTTTCAACAAACACTATGGACTGTAGTACCCATGTGTTCTGGTGCTGTACGAACAAAAACAGTTGGTAAGTAGGATTCTTGTTAGTGCTGGGTATTGCCACTGCAGTCACGATACGATGTTTGTGTACCTATGGATAATGTGTGACATGGATAATTAAGAATGACAGGTTACTTACTGAAGCAACAAAGAAAACATAAAAAAGAATCGTGAAAAATCAATTCAGCATCTCAAGTGGAATGGTTTTCATCGCCTGCCCGATTTTCGTGAGGTTTCCCGGGTCCTCCGGTTTCCGTCCTATGTTAAAGGATCCTACACGCAAGCGAGTTATTGAAATAAAATTGTACAGTGTGTTAGTCTGGAAATGATCTAGTTTGTGTCAAGTGGATGTTACAACCAGTTTCTCTCTCTTTGTACAGGGGGGGTTGGATGGCTGAATGGTTAGCGTGTGCGCGCTGTATCATACAGTCTGTCATTGAGTCGACTGGCGTGGTTTCGAATCCCCGGTTGTCCGTGGCAAGGAGTATGGTCGCCTGTCCAACCCCGTGGGTTTTCTCCGGGTCCTCCGGTTTCCTCCCTCTGCTAAAGACCCCTACGGGCAAGCGAATTATGTAAATAAAATTAAACCATATGTTAGTCCCGAAATGACCTAGTTTGTGTCGAGTGGAGGTTAAACCCCATTTCTCTCTCTATCTCTCTCTCTCTCTCTCTCTGTACAGGTTATGTATTTGGTGGAGATGTATTAAGATTATTCAAGGGTCATATGGATGAATGCTTAGCAATACCAGAAGCAGGAAGTGAACAAGAATACAGGTATAATGACTGAAACATATTTTATTTCCTTGTACAGTGGACCAGTTATAATTCCTTGTACAGTGGACCAGTTCTAATTCCTTGTACAGTGGCGCAGTTCTAAGTCCTTGTACAGAGGCACAGTTTTAATTCCTTTAGCGCTGACAACTTACGAAATTTGAATCTTTCTGTGACGATTGTATCAATTATTTATTTAGGATTTAGTCGCAGGCTCTTTCTGCTAAAATGAACAACCCACGGGACAGAACCCATTTTGTGACCAGTTATCGAAGAAAATACACATGACATGTTTCCCTGCATTGTTAATTTGACACTATTGTTTTTTGAGGGGATGTCAAGAAAATTTTATTTTTAAGAGGGTGTTTATACATTGTATGACTGGAAGTGTGATGCTCTTGTAAATTAGACTCAGATTCTTGAATGTTGTCTTATTATGAGAATAACGTAGGATTGTTCTTTTTAAATATGTATAAATATTGAATGTTATTAATATGATAAATTACTGACTATTTGATATTACAGTGCTGTAATGTATGAAACGGGTGCCGTTTGCTCACATGCTAGATCACTATGGAGACTTGAACATATCAGAACCAAGTAAGATATAATATATTATGTATTAAATTAACCCCCCTAAAATTGAGTAAAATATCTGATTTGTACCAGCAGCAGGGTACTGGGATATTTAAGACTTTAAGGCTGAAGTGATTTAAGACTAAATCTTCTTACCCCAAAACTGAGATAGTCAAGTAAAAGGGCACTGACTCTTGAATGTCCCAGTGTCTACCGAGAGGAACTTTGTGATTTTCTAGCGATTTCTCACTTGTCCCGGTTGGCGCTTACAGGGCTGACAATGAATAGTGTGTCCAGTTGTTTGGATGTACACATTGTCATTCTTGTTAAAAAAACATTTTTTTTACGGTTGGAATTTGAAGAAGAGTAAGTGGAAATCTCTGTATCTGGGCAAATCTTTTTGCTTCATATTGCACACGTAACCATAGAAACCATGGAAATAACATATGTTAGTCTCAAAATGGACAAAGTATTGTTTTGTTGAAACATTAAACCCCAATCTATTCTGTAATAGTAAGCGCAGGAAGATCACACTACATGCAAAAAAACCCCAGATAAGATAAACCTGTGGACAAGACAGAATATAGACATTGCAAAAAGTAAACAAATATCAAATCAAATGAATAACAAAAACATACCCTTTTTGGATGTGATTTTTATTCCAGTTGAATGTCAATTTCCTGAAGCAATGGTCCGAGAAACCCCTCTCTGGCCATTGCTGGATTGACTTCTGATACTTGAGCTTTTGAGAGAGTGTGTCTATTCTTCCCTTCAATCAAATCTATCCCAAGTACAGCAACATGACAGAGCCCTTCGTTTAATCTGGGTCTTCCCTAAAACTATGGACAGTGATTTAAGGTATTAAAATTGGCGAAAGTATTGTCTCCAAACAGTATTGTTTATTGTTTACATTGTATCCCTGTTGATAGCCTCGTCTGTCACACAATTAGTTTTTCTGCAATGTTCTGCTATGCACTGGTCAGTTGGGCATAATAAAATCGTGAGTCATGACATAACTTTATGCAAACATATCTGGTCCAATTTGGAGATCTGTTTAAAGTGTAATGATATTGTTCCGCAGTTAGCTATTAGTTGTTAATCGGACTATTGACCTGTTATAATTTGGAACAGAAATTTGCTTCCATTACAGCAGTGATAAGTGAGATTATCTCTAATCAAAACACTGTGAGGAGTATGGTTGAATGTCCACTTTTCTCCTGTTCAACGCAGCACAAGAAATAATGGCCTTACAAGCAGACATTGAAACATGTAGCATTAAACCTAATGTATAAAATGTATAAATTCTTTCTTGTAGATGGGCCGGTGGATTCATGGGATGGGGACAACAATGCCGTATCCGTCATGTAACATCAGGACGATATTTAGCTGTTACTACTGGTGACCATCACGTAGTAACAGTACATAGAGCCAAAGCAGACGAAGTCAGTACAGCTTTCTTATTGCTGCAGTCAAAGGTAGACTAATTTGTTTTTATGGAGGGGGAGGGGGGATGCCCGAATGGTTAGCATTGTATCATAAGGTCTGTCATTGAGTCAACTGGCGTGGTTTTCGATTCCCAGGTTGTATGTGACAAGGAGTAGAGTCGCCTGTCCAACCTCATGTGTTTTCTCCGGGTCCTTCGGTTTCCTCCCACTGCTACAGACCCCGACGCACAAAAACGAATTATTGAAATAAAAAATTGGATCATATGTTAGTCCTGAAATGAGCTAGTTTGTGTCAAGTGGATGTTATACCTCATTTCTCTCTCTCTCTCTCTCTCTCTCTCTCTCTCTCTCTCTGCTTTTATAGACTTCTGTGAAATTTTTTAGAAATTTACATATTCCAGTTAACCATTACGGTAAAAAAATCAGGCCCCACCGGCCAAAATCCAAACAACCCACTAAACCCAGTGGCATGCAGCGGTTTGATGAATCCTGTGGGTCAACTCCTTGAAGTATGCTCCCAAAGACTCAACTATATTATAGAGCTGAACCATGTAAGAAAGGAAATAAATGGCTAATGAATGCGTGAGAAAGGAAGACATTTTTAAAATATCCAAAAATATGAAATAAATGAAATCAAATTTACAGCAATAATTTCAAATTGTCCCGTCCCCCTCTGCTTCCCTCTCATATTCCACTGAAACAATCTTAGCTATTTCTATTTTTAAAAGATATATAGATTGTAAAGTTGATTAAAAGGAATTTTTGTTTTTCAAAGTTGATTTAAAGGAATTTGTGTTTTTTTAGGATGACAAGAAACAGCCAGAGGTTCGAGAAGTAGAAGGAATGGGGAAAGCTGACGTCAAATATGGCGATTCCATGGCCTTCGTTCAACATTGTGATTCAGGCCTCTGGCTATCATATCAAATATTTGAAACTAAAAAACGTGGAGTTGGTCGTGTTGAAGAGAAAAAAGTAAGTGAACTTTATTTGAAGGTTTTTTTCTATTTCTTGGCCTTAGATTGATGACATTATTCATATTAAAGCATCCATGAATTTTCTTTCCGTCTGATGAGTGGGAAGCCTAATAATTTAACACGTTAGCAGCAAAACCCAGAAGTAATTAAAGAAAAATGATGTTGCTCCCATTGAGTTTTGTAACTCATTTTCGCAAACCATCCAAAACTACTGCTCCCTAGACAGCAGAGTCACAGAACTAGTATACAGTCCTTAAATATTGGAGAAGGCTAGATCGGAAAAGGTCCTGCACATATGACAACATATATGGATTATGGGTTAGGGTTAGGACCTTCAGATTTCGTCAATGTTTCTAGATGTAAACATGGTTAGTCTAGTTGTGCAATAGCACCAGCTGCACCAGCTGCACCCCCTCTCGTGAGGCCTGAATTCTGCATCACTTGATTGCAGTTCTATCAATTGGGACGTTTCGAACTGACAGTCGGGCACCCCCTGTGTTTTCTTTTTTTTTATCCAACTGCTGTAGATCCCTAACTGCAAGCAAATTAATAAAATAAGATATGTGTTGAGTGGTTGTTAAACTCTCTTTTTGTTCTTCAACCCTTTTTAGGCCATCATGTTAGTAGAAGGTCACATGGATGATGGTTTAACGTTGGCTAAATCACAAGAAGAAGAATCACGATCAGCCCGAGTTATCAGGAAGTGTCAATCATTATTTACTAAATTTAACAAGTAAGCTATAGTTTTATTATCAATTGGGTTTTTTTTTTCAATTTCTGAAATGATTTATTTTTCCTTAAAATTTTTAAAGCAATATTTTCAAATTTGAAATTGATATTAGGTATAACTAATTTTAAGAAATTTGAATTGTATATAGCGAAACCGGTTTATGAAAAATAGAGGAGATTGTTTAAAGTGGGGGTATAGTTTCATTACATCAAAACCTTGACTAAGTTTCATAATGATCATTTTCTGCAAGAAGCTTGATAATGCAGTTTTTGGCCTAGACTTTATAAAAAGATAAGTTTTGCAAATAATTAATGAATTAATATAATTGTCATCTATTTAAGGGGGGGGACTTGTGCAATTGGTGACATCCACCTCATTGTTGACTTGTTTTGGTTTTATTCTAGATTAAATTATTAATGATTTTGTTATTGTAGAGCTCTAGACGCATTAAAAACAGAAGGAAGAAACAGTCATGCTTGGGGTAGAATCAGTTTATCAGAAGTTATAAAGTGCCTTGAAGATCTGATCGATTATTTTGCACAGCCTGGTGAAGACGAAGGTAGATAAATATGTCCTCTTGTAGAAACACTAAAATATTTCCTATTCTAAAGAAACTGCACTATAAGACATAGAACAAATAGTACAATATTTTCTCTTCCAGACGGGTTCTGGGACAAAAATGTTCTCAAAACACAAAACAAACAGTACACCACCACTAGGTATTTCTGGATGATTTGAGTTTTGGTTCAGACCTTGGAATCAAAATATGGTTTAACATCCTACTTTTTAAAGCACCAACTGGACTAATGGAGACAGACAGGTGCCGTTTGGTTGCAATTCGTAAATTAAGAAGAGGGTGTAGTACCATTGTCCAGGCAAAATTCCCTTCATAGCATACTAAAAGGTGTATGCCTGTCTTTATAAGCCCAGTTGGTGCAGAAAAGTCAGATGCTAAACCTGCTTCCATTTCATTGAGTCGATGCAAGCATGCAAGCATGCAAGCATGCAAGTTAGGATTGTAGAAATGGAATCAATTATATATTCATGTTATGTATATATGTGTCTCATGGGAAATAATTCTCAATTTAATAATTACGATGTATTGAAATGCAATTTATTCCTAATTAATTTATGCTGTTATAATTTTTCATTCCTTTTAGAACATGAAGAAAAACAGAATAAGTTACGAGCTTTAAGAAATCGTCAGGATTTGTTCCAGGAAGAAGGAATGATTGCTCTGATTCTGGAGACGATTGATAAATTCAGTCAGTATAAAGGACAGAGACAGTTTTCCCAGTATGCCGGGGAGGATGCTGGAGAGAGCTGGGATTCCATATCGAGTTATCTCTACTTATTATTAGGTATCCATTATAATCATCATATTCACTAAAATTTATTCCTTTTTGCATGTGTAACTCTACCCTCAAATTAGCTTGGAATAAGAAGACACATGTTAGAGTCCTTTAAGATTTCAGGTTATTTGCATGTAGGGGTTTAGAACCTATGAAAACAAATACAAAATAAATGCATTTTAGTATTTATTCGTATTTGATTAACTGTAACTAGTAAACCACTCAATCAAAATGAACAGTGATTATTTCCCACAATGCAATTAATGAAGCGTAAAACAAAGACTTGGATCTCAAGTCACCTTGACATTAACTTGGTTTGTCTAAAACATGGCATTGGAGGAATGATTACATTTGCAGGAGTAACAAATGTTAATACAGCTTCTGGATTCAGTAATTAAATTAGTAGACATTAATGATTTTTTGTAGGGTTTTAAATAATACTCCTAATATAATATCAGAGGTGTCTACACATGTAGGCCTATACAGATTATATATATTACATATTGTTGTATGTATCTGTTTTTATGCGCCCACATTTAGTGTGGACATATTTCTTTTTGCATGCTTACAGATTAGTTCTGGTGTATTCTACTGTATTCTAGACCCCGACGTACAAGCAAATTATTGAAATGAAATTGAACTATATGTTACTCCTGAAATGACCTAGTTTGTGTCGAGTGGAAGTTAAACTCTCCTTTTGTATTCCATTGTTTTTATACCTCCCCACATTTATTGTGAACGTATCTTGTAGTCACCTTTGTCCTTAGGTCAATCAAAAGTCATTTGTCTGCCATTGCTTTTGAACAATCTACAAGTCAAATATCTCTCTCGGTTAATACATTCTGAAATCAGCTAGATAAAATTCAAATATAGTGTAAATATTTCATTTTCTTTCAGCTGCCATGATTCGCGGTAACCGTGCCAACTGTTCTCAGTTTGCTCAATCCTACAGATTAGATTGGTTGGTTTACAGGCTAGAAAGTCAACAGTCTTCCACAGGTTCGTATTTTACAAATTTCACAAGTTTAGGAGTTTATCGATGTAGGATGTGTCAGAAAATTATGATTTCGAAAAATCCTTCCTGAATGGGTGAAAATAGAATATTCAAGGCTACCTAAAATTGAATTTTGTTACTTATTTCTTGGAAAATAGAAATAAAGAATTTAAAAACAAAAAGTTCTTGTCGATTTGAGTTCCCCGTTTTGAAATTTGAAACAAAAAATTATTCACATGTTCATAAAGAACTAGAAAAAATAAATTCATTCCCAGTGATGGCCAAGAAACTTCCTCTGGATTTTACGGCACGGTTTTCCCCTTCTCATTGTGCTGAACGGATGGTCAGACAAGGAACAGTGTCTAGTTGTTTGGATGGGATGAAAAAACTGAGGTCCAGTATACATATTGGCATGTGTGTAAAAGAACCCTTAAAGTCTTGGTTAGCCCTTTCAGTGCAGAAAAATAGGACATAAAACCTCTTTTCATTTCAATCATACGGTCTGTCATTGAGTCAACTGGCGAGGATTTGATTCGCCGGTTGTACATGACAAGGAGTAGGGTCGTATGTCCAACCTCGTGGGTTTTCTCCGGGTCCTCCGGTTTCCTCCCACAGCTAAAGACCCCTACGCGCAAGCAAATTATTGAAATAAAAATTAAACCATATGTTAGTCCCGAAATGACCTAGTTTGTGTCGTCGAGTGGACGTTAAACCCCATTTCTCTCTCTCTCTCATTTCATTTCATGTGCAGGTTGTTAAATGAATATTTTATATTTTATGAACAGGTGTATTAGACGTCCTGCATTGTGTTTTGATTGACAGTCCTGAAGCTTTGAATATGATCAAAGAGAAACATATCATCACCATTATATCACTTATAGACAAACATGGACGGGATCATAAAGTAAGTGGGGGAAATCTCACAATCTCTTGTCATGTTCCGTCAGATCTTTTACTCCTGAACTGTTTGAGACAGGCTGACCTTCACCTAACCACTCTGTTACTGGTCTCTATGATTACCAGCTTCCTGGGCAGAGTAATCATATACTGTTTGAGACAGGAGGAATATTGTTCACACACGTCTGTTAATTTGATGGCTGATGTTCACGTAACGCCTCCGTTACTGATCTCTATGGTTATCAGGCCCTATGTAATGATAATTCGCTTTTGATCATTGTGGTCTCCTTTCCAAAAGCTTTTAGATTAAAAATTTTATTCAATAAATATTTACATATTATAAAAGTACACTTTCTGGGATCTGAAAAAAAGCCCAAGCTTATATAAATTCATCTAATTGACCTAATACAATTGTAAGGCTTTAAAATTCATGATTGAATTTGTCTTCGTTGACAATTAGTGTTGGGAAAATTGAAGAAAAGATTCAGAAATCGTCCCAGAAGATCAGTGCCACATTTTGCAAATCCTAAACTCTTATTATAATTGTACCTGTGATTTTTCAGGTATTAGATGTATTACGATCTCTGTGTGTTGGTAGTGGAGTAGCTGTTAGAACCAATCAGAATCTAATCTGTGACAATTTATTACCTGGACGCGATCTCTTACTACAGACTAAACTTGTTGATCACGTCACAAGGTGAGAATCAAGAGGGATACTTTATTTCATTTTAAAATATATAATATTTCTCAAAATGTATTGAATTTGATTATATTAGATTTAATTAATGGTATTTTATCTCCCAAATTGGATTCATTCAGACTGTATAGAGGCTCATCAAAAGATTTTATCCATCTGATTAAGAGAGACCAAATGCTGTAACAGTATATTTTATGCAGCTTCTCGCTGGAACATTTTAGCAACTTAAAATACAGATTATACTATGACACACGTACATTTCTATGAAAGCATCACATGACTGCTATTTTCTATAATTAATGTCCAGTTGGCAAAGTGCTCGTACAACTACCCATTCACCAGTTATGTTGGCATAAATCTAATATATTTTGCTCATGTCAACATTTTTAACAAGTGTTTTTACACATAAAACCTATAAATTTAACTGCATTTATTGTGTTTTAATAGTATAGTTCTTTAGCTGGTCATTTTCACAGCCAGTCAGTCAAGACTAGTCAATCTTATTGAAATCTAAGCCCTAGTTGCAATTAAACTCGCTGTTCAAATGATAAAATTTCTTGAATGTGTTTTTTGTTTCAGTATCCGACCGAATCTGTGTGTTGGATTGTGTGAAGGATCAGCTATGTATAAAAAATGGTATTTTGAAATTGTTGTCATTAACTACGAATATGCCACTCACTTGCCTCCATTGTTAAGAATGGGTTGGGCAAACACAGATGGCTTCATACCCTATCCTGGTGGAGGAGAAAAATGGGGTGGTAATAGTCTGGGAGATGAACTGTATTCATACGCCTTTGATGGACAAAATCTATGGACAGGTAAATACATAAAATACTAAAAAAACATTCAAAGATTAGGTAAATACATAATTGAAAAAAAATAGATGAAAAGATATTAAAATTTAATGATCCCATAGAAAAACTGTGTAGGGCAGTGTAGGAAAGATGGAGTTTACTCCCAGTTGAACTTTGTTTAGTGACTTCTTTGTCAATCTTCAAATCGCGATTAAAAACTGACAAAAAATCTTAGAGCCTCTGAACTTTTGAATATAGTTTTGGTATGCGCTATGAGCACGTTTTGTGGATTTGCCATTATATAAATGAACATATTATTATTACTAGGAACACAGTTATTTTTTTTTACAGAATATATGCAGACATAAAGATAATTTATGTAGATGTATAATTTGACATACTTTTTGAGATATTTTTGTAGATAATTTATGTAGATGTATAATTTGACATACTTTTTGTGTAATTTATGTAGATGTATAATTTGAAATATTTTTTGAGATATCTTTGTACCTATGAATCTAATTTGTCTGATCATTATCTACCCCTTTACTACAAAAGGTTTTTCTGCCTGTTTTAAGGCAAACAGTCTTTAGTAATTATTGCATATCTAACTTGCATTCTGTCCGTCCAGGGTGTCACAGTCGTCGAACCATAGGTCACTGGCCTGTCAACTAAAATGACCTAGGTACCACTCCTGGCAGAAGTTGAAAATAACTTTTTAGAATTTTCAAGCCTAATTCTCATTATACAAGCATTGCATCCCTGGGTCTGATACAGAAAGTGTGCCTATTTGGACACATTGGTGTTTACATGAAAGAACCTTTGGCAGTTGAAATCCGAAGAAGAATAGGTGAAAATGTTGCTGCCCTGGCAAAATTCTTCCATGTAATAACTTACATTAGACTCCATTCCATTCCATTCTTTCCTTTAATACATGTGTTTTTTAGTTGCTTTATAATTTTTTTTCGTGTTTTTTCAGGTGGTAAGCTAAAGCATGTTCGTTCAGCTAGTCAGCCATTACAGAAAGGTGATGTAATTGGTTGTACGTTAGATCTCACTGTTCCACAAATTACATTCTCACTCAATGGTGTCAAGATTCGAGGATTCTTTAAAGATTTCAATCTCAGTGGAATGTTCTTTCCTGTTGTAAGCATGTCGGCATCTGTCAGGTAACTGAAAATAAATTTGTTGAATATTCCACAACCTTAATAGCATAACTCAATAACTTATGACTAGATCAATGCTCCAGAGAAAGATGTTGTGGATGACTGTCTGGTTTGATTTAATGAGTTCAAAAAGGTAGAATAGAGGTTTTAAGAGCTCTTTCATAATCCTTCAAATTATCTCATTCTCCTTCATCATCATGAGGAGCTGCAGTGACTCAGTGAGTAAGGTGGTAGGTCACATGGCCTTGATGGTATCTCAGGATTTTCCATTGTGATTTCCTTTTCTGCTGGACGGAAGGTTAGATCTATTTACCAAGGCCACCTGCAGATTTCCTCAAGGTCACGAGATATAAACGGGGCTAGCACTAACCCTAACCCAAAACCTAGCCCAATTTTTAAAACTAACCCACAATCCTCGACAACAGTCATGTGCCCTAACCCTGTTTACATCTCGTGTCCTTGAAATCTGCAGGTGGCCTTGGTAAATAGATCTGAACATGGACAGAGGGCATGGCAAGGAACAGCGATTAGTTATTTGGATGGGCTGAAAAAGAGATCCTGTGTACAATGCATGGTGTATGCCTATCTTTATTAGCTGGATCGGTGCAGGAAAGGACGTTACACCCCTTTTCATTTCATTTTATCATCATAGATAACATATTTGTTGTATCCGTAGACTATATTTTACATTCTGGTTCTTTTCGTTTCAGTTGTCGTTATGTACTTGGAGGAGAACATGGCAGATTAAAATACGGTCCACCAGAAGAACATTCACCAATCATCGAATGTCTGATGCCAAAAGAAAAACTAGTCATTCAGTCATGTTTTTATTTTGGTGATATGAAGAAATGTATTATCAGTGGACCTACAGAAATATTTGATTACGTGCCATTTGTTCCTAATCCAGTTGCAACAGGAAGGGTAAGTTGTAGGATAATTTATCTGGAAAACTGCCAAATGTGGATCTTCCAATAAACCAGGGAAGATTTGGTAACATATTCCTTTTACATATTAACAACTCTTATAATGTCAACTCAAGTTTACTAAATGTCATTGTGCTTGATAACGATAAGAACATACTTGTCGAAACGTTGTGCCTTTAGAATAAAACCTGTGATTGTTTTCCTATAGAAATTGGGTTCTGTTATAACTTAGCTATTCTAGTTATAGAAAGCGCATCGGTAACAAAGTCTCTAGGAAAGTTTGTAGTGTGTGATTGCCCGGTGACTGGGTCCAACATAATAACTGTTCAATAATTATTCACTACTGATTGCTATGGTCAGCATCTTTTTCCCCTTTCTATTGTGATAATACAATGGGTTGTTGTTGTTCTTAGTGTGTAACGTCTGCTTCCACCAAAGGTGATATCCCAGACTAGTCTTATTTTTCATTTTCATCATCTCAGCGCGTGCGCAGGGGTCTTTCCTGTGGAAGGAAAGAAGGTTGAGAATGTGCCCCTATGCTCACACCAGGGATCGAAACAATAGAATGGAGCCCATGGAGTGTTTATCTATTGTGCTGACTGTGTGAGCCCCATGTATTAAAGAGGTTAAAATGTGTATATAGATTTTAACTACTCAGTAACTGTTATTATCCATTAAGTGTGGTTTAATGGTCAAGAGCGAGACATTAACCCTTTCAATGCTAGACGTAAATCCACTGCCTGTGCTAGACCCTTTTTTGAGGAAAAAAGGGAGGTTGGAACTGAACGCCAAGCTTTTATGAAAGATCTTTTTGTCTGTTGGGGTGGGCATGAGGTTGGGCTAAGAGGAAAAAATAGAATTTTGGAAATTTGCATAATAATGTAGTCACGTGACGTCATGGCGGCCATTTTGGATTTCTCATTTCTCACTAAAGCTAACACGAAAACGAATTTTTCTCCATGAAATACTTAAAAGATATTGTTTTTTTCACTGGATTTTGATAAAGATATATAAAATGAACAAAAATATCAATAGCAGCCATGAGCAATGCCGTCACGAACACGCGCATCACGTCTCCTGCTGCCATGACCACGTGCGGATTGCAATACCTTGTTTTTACTTTCACTTTCACTTTCATCCCCAAGTCCCATATCATTTTCAAGATAGTCAGTCAATAGATCGACACGTTCGGGACTCAGGAATTGCCTACGTCTTTTACGATCCAGCAGGCCAGCATTATTATCAACATCAGAATTATTGTCAGAATCTACTGCAGACACAGGGCTATCGTGTTCACATTGGGCTTGTTCATCATGCACGAGAGACATAGCTAGCCATGGGCGGAACGTCGCGCAATAAATCACACACTTCATAATACCAATCACTGTCCTGACTACTATCATTATCAAGTAACTGGAAACGAATTATGTGTATCACCCGCCTCGAAATTGTCCACGTGTTGGGCAGCAAGACGTCATTCACGACTTCGTCGAGAGTGCATCGTCTACGTTGTCACTATGCACTCCACCATTTTACGGTTTGCCGCTTTGAAACACGTGAAAATATGTTCTAGTGTATAGAAAATACAATAGATGGCACTTGCAGTTACGGTACTAATTTTAGCTTGGGCTTTACTGAGTACACGGTAATACCCGGTACGCGCATTTTACCGACATTTTATAATACCCGGTACTACCGGGTATATGCAGTGAAAGGGTTAATAGTAAGTGCAGGAGGACCGCACTACACGTAAAACAAAAATCTACAAGATAAACTTGCTGACAAGACAGAAAATAGACATTGCACCAAACAAAACAAGTGACGTAGTCATGAGTTGTTGTTTCAATATATTACGCAATGTCTTAAACTCGAGACCATTAAACAACTTAAAATACAGACACTCACACGTCCTTTGCAATGAAATATGTCGCACAGGTCCAAAATTTAACTTGTATAAAAAATGTGCGCTTGGCATATTGCACATACCATTATTTGAAATAATGATAGGCCAACATCAAAGGATGACATAACATCTGTATTTTAAATGTTATCATTATACATCCCAATTTAGTTATGGAGAAACCAACATTTTTAGATTGTATTTATATGTGTCTCCCATTGAGACTATAGTTCAGATTCTCCTCAGTAGCTCCCATTGAGACTATAGTTCGGATTCTCCTCAGTAGCAGGGGTCCACAAGATCTATAACTATGATCAGACACTGGGTTTTATAAAACAAATTAGACTAAACCTCTTTCATTGAGACTATAGTTCAGACTCTCCTCGGTGATCAGATTAGACACAGGGTTTTACAACATCTTTCATCTTGAAAAATAAAGGGGGTTATTTGTTTGTAAAATAAGCATGATTTGAGACATCACCAATCGAGAAAAAATGATGGAAATACTTTTGCATACTCTTAATGGTATAGAGCTTGCCAACTATTTAGTGCAAATAGTGTTATATATCTTTTAATATTTTGACATTTATTTTAGATCCAGCTTCCTGCTTATATTGAAAATGTAAGAGATAAGTTGGCCGAGAATTTACATGAGTTATGGGCAATGTCAAAGATTGAACAGGGCTGGTCCCATGGAGATGTGAGTACAGATCTTTATCATATACATCATAAATTTTACTATTGCACTGTAAACATTACAATGTATTATAAACTGATACAATATATATTTACAGGTGTAATATAATATACACATTACTAGTACACAATACACATCTAAAAGTGTGATATATTGATATGGTGTACACATTACTGATATACATATAAAAGGTGTTGTGCTGATTCACAGTACACATCTACGGGTGTGATACTTGTATATAGTACTCATCTAAAGGTGTTATGCTAATACACATCTAAAGGTGTGATATATTGATATGGTATATACATTACTGATATACATCTAAAAGGTGTGATATATTGATATAGTATATACATTACTGATATACATCTAAAGGTGTTATGCTGATACACAATACACATTTGATATATTGATATGGTGTACACATTACTGATATACATCTAAAGGTGTTATGCTGATACACAATACACATCTAAAGGCGTGATACTTATATATAGTACTCATCTAAAAGTGGTATACAGATATATGATACACATCTAAAGGTGTGATATATTGATATGGTATATACATTACTGATATACATCTAAAAGTGTTATGCTGATACACAATACACATCTAAAGGTGTGATACTTATATATAGTACTCATCTAAAAGTGGTATACAGATATATGATACACATCTAAAGGTGTGATATATTGATATGGTATATACATTACTGATATACATCTAAAAGTGTTATACTAACAAAACTTTACAAAAGTCATATTTATATCTGTATTTCCTAACAGGAACGTGATCCAAAAAACAAGAAAAATCCATCACTAACAGCTTTTGAACGTCTACCTATGTCTGAGAAAAAATATGTTGTTACAGTAGCCTTTGAAACTCTCAGGTAAGATTGGCATGAACAAAGAACAAGTGTCTAGAACATTTAATAAAAAGTCATCATTATCTACATCTATCTGTTGTAATATAATATGTGAATTTTATAAAATATATTTAGTTTGTCTGTATCCAAAATAACCATTATCCAACCTATTCTTGAGGCGATTTTTACAAGTCAAGCTTATTATTATGTAATGGTATATGTATATAACCATGTGTTCAAAATAGCATTTATCTGGCCCCCGAGTTCTCAAAGCATTCTCAGACTAAGTTGAGAATTTACTCCAAACTGTTTGCCTTATTTTAACTAGAATATAGCCCTTTATAAAACTTTTGTTGTTTTAATGTATCAAATACATCAATAAGAAACTATGTGCAAAGTTTTGTGTTTCCGGATCAAAAATATTTCTCATAATCAGTGATTGGAAGTTGAGTAAATTCTTAACTTAAGTCCGAGAATGTTTTGTGAATTCGGCCATAGACCTATTCTTGTGGAAATTTATTATGTATTGGTATATTTTTATTTACAGGACATTATTAGCACTAGGATATCATATAACCATTGATCATCAACAACAACAGAATAACAGGATGAAAACAGTTAAACTAGCTAACAAGTAAGTCACTTATAATCACTCTCTAATCAACAGTTTTTAAACTGACTTAACACATGACACACTTATATGGAATACAAGTTACTTGAAATGTAATGAAATGGGGTTTAACGTCCTACTGTTCTGTTCCTATGCTGGGCTAATGAAGACGGGCATATGCCATACAGTGTGCTAAGAGGGAAATTTTGCCCGTGCAGCGGCACTATCGCCTACTCTTATATCGAATTCCAACTGCCAAGGGATCTTTTACGTGCATTCTAATGTATAAACGGGACCTCGGTTTTTCGTCTCATCCAAAGGACTAGACAGCTGTCCTTGTCAGGCCTTCCGTCCTGCATTACTGACAAGGGGGAACCACGGCAGAAAATCTCGATGAACTTTCTCGGCCAATGCAGGGATCGCACACCCGACCTCCAGGCTAGCGAGCCAGTGTCTTACACAAGTTACTTGAAGGGTTTATTTCTGGTGACGTTTCAACGAGGGTTCTCTCGTCTTTATCAAGCAAAGAATGACAACCATAGTGCAATGAAGATATATATATACGAAATATGGAACAAAGACAAACATCTATATACAATCAGAGATTGTAGTGGGATGAATCCTTTCAGCACCAAACAACTGTTAAAGTGACTTGTTGACTGTTATGCCAAGTTCCCACTGTTGTGCGACGTGTTGCGATAGGATTGTCCTTATTGAGTCCACGATCTGCTACGGCAAAATACGTTCGGATACGTTTCGATATGATCAACACTATTGCTAAGACTGACCTCAATATATGATAAAATCTGATAGGATCACCACAATTACTCCGCAATTAAAACCATGATTTCAATCGCAGCACGAATTGTGATATTGGGAACCTAGCATATCCAATACTGAAAACCATGAAAGTTTAAAAATTAAGGGGAGACCAACACAGGGTACAATTTTATTTCCGTTTTTTGAAACCAGAGGATCTGGACAAAAGCCACGAAGTTGGACAGGCGACCGTATTCCTTGTCAAAATTATGGATGCGTGGGACTTCGCAACCTTGACACTAGAATTTCATCATAGCCGATATGTTTTTTCTCTCACTGCTAAAGTCCACTACTCGCAAGCAAATTATTGAAATAAAATTGTACCATATGTTAGTCCTGAAATGACCTAGTTTGTGTCAAGTGGACATTAAACCCAATTTCTATCTTTTTATCTTAGAATTTTATCTGTTTTATTTTTAGCTATTTACAAGGTAATGGTTATAAACCAACACCGTTAGATTTATCTGTGGTTACGTTAACCGATAAAATGGAGGAATTGGTTAACCTATTAGCTGAAAATACACACAATGTCTGGGCTAGAGACAGAATTAAACATGGATGGACTTACGGTTTATGTGAGGTGAGTTTTAAATCTGTTAAATAATAATGTATTTATATAGCTCCTATTAGCCATTAAACTGCTCAATGGCGTTGAGTTGTCGGTCACAGAAATTTATGTTATATTAAAGTAAAAGAGATGAATCTTGAGTTTCTTTTTGAATTCTAGAATAGTTCCTTCTTTTTTCATGTATAATGTTTTTTTCTTACCATTTTTTTGCAATCAATATTTACATAAAGATACAATATTTAATCACGTATTGAGGTAGGTCGTTCCAAAGGACTGGTGCTGCTACAGAGAAAGCTCTATCACTACACGATATGAGATTTGTTCTTGAATAGCAAGTTGTATATTTGATGACCAGGTTGTTCTTTGATGGGGTTTTATTTGAATTAGGTTTAACATACTATTTTTCTGTACCAGCAGGGTAAATGAAGATGGGCTATGTAGTTTGCTATTTTAACCTGACATACACTTATTTCTATTTCAAATTGTCATGGATCTTTAACATCTTGCCATTTTATTTTAAGGATCCAATTCAGAAAAGAAGTCCACATCTTGTACCCTACAACAAAGTGGATGAATCTATTAAAAAAGCCAACAGGTATTTGAAATGAATTAAACAAGAATAAACTTTTGATCACAAATATTTGAAACGATTAAAACAAGAATGTTTTTTTTTTTATATATATAAGAATGTTATGGAACGGATTTTAGAACAGGCACAACCTGCGTCAAATTCCCCCTTCTGTGAACAGTGCTCAACGCTGTATCTGCAAATAGACATAAATATAACCACTGATGCTCTTTTCTTTGCAAGCTCATCACCTCCAATACTTTGCAAGTATTTCTTACCTTAGTTTAAAAATTTTCTCAAGCATAAGCCCTCGTGAATCCATTTTGGCTCGCTATGCTGGCAGCCCACCCAATATGAATATTGTTCCGACGAGCCTTCTCTCAGATACGAGAGTGGTCACCTATCCATATATATGGTTACTAGATATTACCCAGATAACAAAATGGTTATTGAAATACTCTTATATTAATTCTTATAAGACATATAGAGGTAGATTTCACAAATTAAAAACACTTATACGGATATACTACTTCTGAATTTATTAACATGCTACGTTTCGATACATATACAGATATCATTATGTTAATAAATTCAGAAGTAGTATATCCGTATAAGTGTTTTTAATATACTTTTATATTGTTTTGATGAGCCTGCTCTCAGAGTGGTGACCTTTCCATATATATGGTTACTATTTATTGAAATACTTTTATATAGTAGTAAGTGTAGGAGAACTGCACTCCAGGCAAAACAAGACCCATAAGACAAATCTGCTCACAAGACAAACTGCACACACATTTGAGAAATAAACAGCAAATATTAAATCAAGTGAATGGATCCGGGGGCCAGTCGTATGAATTCTGTTGAAATTCCCTGTTTTTTTCTCATCCAGGAACACAACGAGTGATACAGTAAAGACATTGATAGCCTATGGTTACGCTCTAGAGGCACCAACAAGTGAAACAGGAGAAAGTGGTATGACAGGTTTGTTTTTTGGCTTGATACTAACATGCTAGCACACTTACAATCAACCTTAACACAGTTACTATCAACCTAACACTCCCCCCTCCCACACACACACAGTTACTATCAACCTAACACCCCCCCCCCCCCCCCGCCCACACACACACTTACTATCAGCTTAACACCCCTCACTCCCACTTATCACATTTACTGTCGGCGTAACACCCACACTTACCTCATTTACTACCAGCTTAACACCCCTCCCCCACCACACTTAACACATTTACTATCAGCTTAACACCCCTCACACCTTACACTTACCACATTTACTATCAGCTTAAGACATTTACTATCGCTTTACACCCCTCACCCCTACACTTAACACATTTACTATCAGCTTAACAATAAAGCTCGGTTCATACTACATCCGTATCCATAAACGTATCCGTATCCGCACCCGCATCCGTATCTGCGTTTTGCCCTTCAAATAGAAAACGCGAAAATGTCCGGCTTTCAAGACTGAATTGTCTGTCAGAGATTGAGTTTCTATTTGGGGAGATGATGTAATCAGGGGAAAGTACTCACTGATTGGCTAAAGCTCGGCTCACTAGCCGAAATGCCGGACGCACTTTACAAAAATACGCTCTGGGAGCAATCAATCCGGGTTAACGGACGCAGTTGTTTTTGTGCGCAATATGTGTTGAATTCTATTTCAACCCTTTCTCTAAAAATGACTAAAGTATAGCAGTACGTATTCACGCACGTATTTACAGTTACGTATACTGATGTAGTATGAATGAACCTTTAGAGCTTTCAGTCACATTAGCACACCGTTAAGACACTTTAGCACACCATACCTCACCATGATAGTTCACCATTGTGCACTTTAACAATCTAATACCACCTTAGATCACTTTACACACCATCTAATAGAAACTTACACCCCATGACAGTCTAATAGGAACTTAGCACACCATTACAGTCCAATAGAAACTTAGCACACCATTACAGTCTAATAGAAACTTAGCACACTGTAACAGTCTAATAGAAACTTAGCACACCGTTACAGTCTAATAGAAACTTAGCACACTGTTACAGTCTAATAGAAACTTAGCACACCGTTACAGTCTAATAGAAACTTAGCACAGCTTAATAACCTTTTGTCTACAGAATTTGATTTCTGTAAGGTGTCTATAATGTTTTCGGATTTTATTAATATTATAGATCATACAAGTTAACATCTTTCAATTTAATCAGAGCATTTTGTATGTTATTTGAATGGATTGATTGTTGACATAAAACTTTATTATTATTTGTTTATGATCATTTTCAATGTGACAGCTTTGATTAAGTGTGGTTTAATGGTCGAGAGCAAGACATTGCGTAATATATTGAAACAACATGAGTGAAGTTAATCACGAGTTGTTGTTTCAATATATTACGCAATGTCTTAAGCTTGAGACCATTAAACAACTTAAAATACAGACACTCACACGTCCTTTGCAATGACATTCGTCACATGGGTCCAAAATTTTAACTAGTATAAATAATGTACGCTTGGCACATTGCCCGTACCATTATTTGAAATAATGGTACGCCAACATCAAAAGATGACGTCATATCTGTATTTTAAATGTTATTATTATTTGTTTACAATCCCTGTTCAATATTACAGCTTTAATTAGAGAATCACAAGAAAAAGTAATCCAGACTCGAACTTTCAGAGCTGAATTAACCTATGCTGTTTCATCCGGAAAATGGTAAGAAATGTGCCAGTCTTTGAATGTTTAACAATGTCAGTCAGTGAGTTGTGAAGTTTTAAAAAAGGTCATATCTTAAATTGTTTTGAAATTATGATGATTGAAGCTCTGCACATGCCCAGAAAAAGAACTTTAAGTAGAAATTTTTAGTTTGAACGAAAAATTCTGCTTCTTGAAGATTATGCTTAGCAATTAGTCTAAATCTTGATCATGGACCGATCTAATACTGGTGATTGTAATTTGGTAGGTATTATGAAATGGAGGTACTAACAACAGGTTATATGAAGATTGGTTGGGCCAAGAAATCAGCAGAATCTGGTGATGAACTAGGAATGGATGGGAAATCCTATGTATTTGATGGATATTTGGTGAGTTTTACCTATTTCATGATTGAAATAAAATGAGGTTGAACTTCCTACTTTTCTGCATAAACCAGGCTAATGAATACGGACATATGCCATGCGGTATGCCAATCTACCAAACAGGGTTGTCCTCCCTTGCAGTCCACACTAGCCTCTGCTAAAGGCTCATTTGACCAATGACTTCTGGGTCAACCAGTGTAATGCCGGATAGCGAGACTTGTGTGGAGCATATGGTGGTATGCTACCAGGGGAAGGGTTACCCTTCTATTCTTTGTCGAATTTCAACTGCCAAGGGTTCTTTTATGTAAACGCCAATAAGTACAGAGGACCTTGTATTTTTGTCCCTTCCCAATGACTAGATGCTGATCCTTGCCAGACACTCTTTTTTACCACTGACAAGAGGAAACGGCGCTGAAAAATCCTGAAGAACTTTCTTGGCCAACAATGGAATTGAACACAGGACCTCCTGGGCAACCTTTGGATGTAGACTATGGTTGCGATTACAGCCTGAACTATCCCGACCATGCTGTATCGCATGGTATGGCTGGTTATGACCACAGGTTGAACTATAGTATGAGAATCCTTGCAGCCGAAGGTCGCCCAGGTTAATGAGCTAGTGTCTTACTCACTGAGCCACCATGGCTACCGTTCTCTTTTCTACATTGGGTGAACAGTTTGCCTGGAATGATTTTGCTTCTGTTTTCAGGCGAGGAAATGGAACCATGGATCAGATCCGTATGGTAAAAGATGGCAGACAGGAGATGTGATTGGTTGTTTGTTAGATCTTCATGACAAGACCATCTGTAAGTACAAAATATGTCAATCAATTTTTCTTATGTGATAAGTTTAATATAGAGAGAGAGAAATGGGGTTTAACGTCTTGACACAAACCAGGTCATTTCGGGACTAATACATGGTTCAATTTTCAATAATTCGCTTGCGCATAGGGGTCTTTAGCAGTGAGAGGAAACAGGAGGAACCGGAGAAAACCCACGAGGTTAGACAGGTGACCCTTCTCCTTGTCACGTACAACCGTGGAATCAAAACCATACCATTTGTCTCAATGACAGAACTTATGATAGAACACGCATGTGCTAACCATTCGGCCATCCCCCACTTAATGACAGACCTGATGATCTAAAGGACACACATCAGACCATCCCCACAATAAACAGAGCTTATGATAGAACGAGCACGTGCTAACCATTCAGCCACCCAACCCCCCACGTTTAATATCTTTGTTTACTGAACATAGTTTATATTTCAACAAGTCGGGAAGGGGATGCTTATTATTTTGTTTCTTGTTATGTTTTCTGAAGCAAACGTGAAGTTTGTACTTCAGGAGGGCTGGGTGGTCCAGTGGTCTAATGTGGCATGACTTTGATCCCAAGTTTGTACTGGACAAGGAGTAGGGTCGCCTGCTCAACCTCCTAGGTTTTCATCCGGGCCCCCTGGTTTCCTCCAACTGCTGAAGACCCCTACAAGCACGCGAATTATTGAAGTAAATTTGTACCATATATTAGTCCTGAAATGACATATAGTGGGTGTCGAGTGGGTGTTGATATCGTGGAAGACCCATGGGATTGGACAGGGTATGTTAAATTCATTAGGAAAATCGTATAGCTATTTCGGTTTCAGTCAGTCTACTATTCTAAGTAATGATACTTTTTTATTTCCAGCTTTCTCATTGAATGGTGAATTAATGATGGATTCTTTAGGACAAGAAATCGCTTTCAGGGACATCGAACCTTCAGAAGGTAGAGTATAGTCTTGACATAAATGGTTTAAACTATAACATGTTGTCTAATCCACAGATTAAACTCAGCATTATATACTATTCAAAAAAAGTAGGGGATATTTGATTTTGGGGGCATAATACTAAAATATGCAAATGACTACGAAAAAAGTCACTATAGAACCTAACAGAAGAAACATTTCCAGTTACATGTGACGCCCAAACGCACCAATAGCTACCGCATGGAATGCAGGTGATGCTTGGGATCATCATGGGGGTCCAACCCAAGATTTGCACGACTCTGACTTTGAATGTTACTGTCATTGTGGCATTGAATTCCAGGGTGGAAACATCAGTTTAATTGTTTTAGTGACCAGAAAACAAATTTTGATATGCGTCGGCTTACCCAAAATGAAAGGTTACTTGCCCTTGGCATGCTACAGATCGGCACAACACAGGCGGTTGTGGCGCGGACGATGAATGTTTCTCAGTCTGTCATAAGCAGGCTATGGTCCAGATACCGTGATACACAATCTGTACAGGACAGACCACGCTCAGGTCGACCAAGGGCGACAACTCAAGCCCAGGATCGATTTATCCGTACCTTGGCCTTGAGAAATCGTGTCATCACAGCAAATCAGATCAGCGCTCGTCTTCAAACAGACACTGGTGTGAGAGTGAGTGGCCAGACGATTCGGAATCGACTGCATAGGGGTCACCTTCGCGCCCGACGTCCTCGCGTGATCCCTTGTTTGAGAGATCATCACATTCAGGCAAGATGTCGTTGGTGTAGGGATCGTCAACACTGGGATAATCGACGCTGGAGCAATGTGATGTTTTCAGATGAGTCAAGGTTCACTGTTGATTTTTTGGACAGACGTAGGAGGGTGTGGCGTCGTCGAAACGAGCGCTTCCAAGACGTTAACGTCATCAGACATGATCGATTTGGGGGTGGTTCTGTTATGGTGTGGGGAGGCATCACTGTTGCTGGAAGAACGGCTTTACATGTTGTTGCAGGGCGTGTTACAGGCCAGTACTACCGGGACAACATCTTGGCAGTCCATGTTGTGCCGTTCGCACGACGTCATGGCCGCCGTTTCATCTTCCAGGATGACAACGCAAGATGTCACAGGGCCAGGATCGTTACAGGTTACCTCCAACAACAGAACATCACCACATTACCTTGGCCAGCACTGAGTCCCGACCTCTCCCCCATCGAGCATGTCTGGGACATGCTTGGACAGAGGTTACGTCAACGTCAACAACGTCCTGCCAATGTCCAAGAACTTGCTGCTGCGTTGCAACAGGAATGGGACAATCTGGACCAAAATGACCTTAGACGTCTCATTAGGAGTATGCCACGTCGGATCAATGCTTGTTTGGCAAACAGAGGAGGATTTACCCGTTACTGACTTGGTTGTGATGCTGTGGTAACTTTGCTGTTTGACCCCGGGTATCATTTTACCCTTATAATGGTCAGTCTGTGCCTTACTTAGTCTAACGATCATTTGGAATAAATCGAAGAATGTGAACTTCATTTCATTTTGTCATTTGTTTCTTCGTCAGTTTCATTAGGTGACTTTAATAACACTTAAAAATCAAATATCCCCTACTTTTTTTGAATAGTATAGCTAACCCCCTTTACTCAAGCAATTCTTGTCAGCAATATCACTTCAGTGGAAGCAGACTTTAAATAAGGAAATTTCACGCACACACAACCGTATGACAAATCAAGCTATATTGATGTCCCAAAGGAGAAATGAAAATGAAATGAGGTTTAATATCTTACTAATCTGCAAGATTATGCCATTCAGTGTACTAAGTATTAGGGAAATATTTACCTGGACAATGGACATGGTTCTACACCATCCTATAACTTGTCTATAATTATATTTTCCCCGCCTATAACTTTGAATAGAATGATATTTTCAGTCTATAACTTTGAATATCATTATATTTTTAGCCCATAATTTTGAATATAATTATATTTTCAGCCAAGAACATAAAATTTAATTATATTTTCATTCTTTAACTTTGTACTTTAACCGTTGAATATGATTATATTTTTAGGTTATGTACCAGCCATGACTATGGGAGCTCATCAACAAGGAAAGTTTAATTTTGGACAGGTATGTACACTTAGCGATATCATCTTTAAAAACAAAGAATACAGCAATCTGATTGAAATACAGATCTATATTTCGTTTCATTTTTTATACTTTCGGTTGTAGCGATAGGTCGCGTCAGAGGTCATACGAGCGGCTTTTGACCCTATGACGTCAGACATTTGATTAACCAATCAGCATTGATGTTACTAGTGGATTATCCACAGTTCTTTGCAAAACACAGCTAAAGATCGCTGTAACAGATCGTTTCATTGGCTAATCCCTGACGTCATTCAGAACACATCAATGATAACAACTCTTCCAGATCCTAGTGTAGTAAAGACTAGTAAAACAAAATTTTGAACTATAAAAACAAAACGAAATAGGATCTGTGTTGTAATCAGATTGAGAATGCAGTTCATTCTAACAAAGATGTCATAGAATGAATAACGAAACTGGCTAAATTTACTTTTCTTGCAGATGCAAAGATGAATTGTATTTATTTTGAAAAAAAATATACTTGTATTTGACAAGGAGTAGGGTCGCCTGTCCAACCTCGTGGGTTTTCTCTGAGTCCTTCTGTTTCCTCTCACTGCTAAAAGACCTCTATGTGCAAGCGAATTATTGAAATAAAATTGAACCATATGTTAGTCCTTAAAATGACCTCTTTTATAGATGATAATTTTTGCTTTCTGTTGAAATTTCAGGATGTGAACACATTAAAATATTTTACATGTTGTGGTCTACAAGAAGGTTATGAACCATTCTGTGTGTAAGTATTTCTGTCTTCACTTAGCTAGATTTATCATCTTAGTCCCAATCTGAGCTACATATGTTAAGTGGGATTTAAACTCCCATTTTAACAGATTTATCATATGTTAGTCCCAAATGTTGAGTGGGCTTTAATATCCAGTTTTCTTTTTACACTGCTGATCATTAGTTACATTTTTGTGACCACGGTAGATAATATCCATGCTTGGATTTATTTCGATTTAAAGGAAGCCTATCTAAAGATTTTATCCAACATTTATAGGCACTGTTGGCATGTTTGTACTCCCGTCAAAAGTCAAAACCTAGTAACTCACTTTTTTATCAAAATTGAGTTAGGACCAAATTTGTAGTTACTAGGGTATGTGCTTCCTGTTGTTGTACTAGATATTCCAATCTTTTGATTTTGTAAACAGTTACACCCATGACACAACCTAGCAACTTCCTTCATTTGCCTAGTATGCCACAGAAAAACCTAGTAACTCTATAGTCAAATCATTGCATAAGCTTGGGTTTAATATTCATTCATTACGTTTTCCTTTGTTTTCTCAAAATAAGAAAAACGTGAGTTACTAGGTGTTGCCTTTTGACAGGAGTATATCGTCTGAAGAGAATGACCAATGTTGCGTAATTTCTTTTGATTTCTTCATATCTTTGTAAATACTAAACGGAATTGGAGGACTCTTGGACTGATGTTTTTTTTTGGGGGGGGGGGGGAGATTCAATTTCCATAATTTAGTTTCCAAGGGATTGAAAATCCCTCAAATGACAAATGACGTCTTTAACGTCATATGATTGTTATTGTATTACAGAAACATGACTCGACAATTACCTTTATGGTACAGTAAAGGTCAGCCATTATTTAACCCGTTAGATGTTGATGATCCCCAAATACAGGTCAACAGAATACCAGGAGGGTAAGTTTATTATCTTAGTCAAAACAGGACAACTACACAAGACAATAAAGACATGAATGCAGTACCATATTTTACGGGGTATTAACTCGATGTGGAGTAAAAGTCAATCGTCATATTTTACTGTTTTTCGGACCTCCATCAAAGCGGTATATAAGACGAAAGAAACGTCTACAAATATTTCTATTGGAATAGTGTAACTTAAAGTAGCTTTGTTTTAGACGATAGTGTGTGCGGCATCGTCGAGAGACGGTAACTTCATCCATACATAAGTCGAAGCGGAGTATAAGACGAAGGCCAGACTTCGACGAAAAAAAGTATCGACTTGTACCCCGAAAAATATGGTAAATAGATACATGAAAATTGAAAGGAGTAGTGTTGCTTGTCCAATCTCATGGGTTTTCTCAAACTGCTAAAGACCTCTGTGCGCAAGCGAATTATTGAAATAAAATTAAACCATATGTTAGTCCCGAAATGACCTAGTTTGTGTCGAGTGGACGTTAAACCCCATCTCTCACTCTCTCTCTTTCATTTCAACTTTATCATAGATATGCTTCAAATATAGGATTATACAGGTCACAATTCTATGGAATACAATCACTGCTTTTTACTGAGCGACTTTTCGACTGGGCTTCTCTAGTCATTTTCAAGCAATGATAATGACTAGAGAAGCCTAGTCGAAACGTCGCTCAGTAATAAGCAGTAATTGTATTCCATAGAATTGTGACCTGTATACTCTAGTTCAATTACTAAATGCCATTGAAACAGTTTAAATATAGGATTGTATGTAAAAATATTTATGGAATTAGAAAATATAATTGCACATGATTCAATGAAAGGTGTCAATGGAGATATAGTCTCTTGTAATAATACTGACATTATTTATTATCCATTACATGTACATCATTATTTTGTAATTTCAGAGCCAATGTGACACCATGTCTGAAAGTGCAATCCAAGACGTTCGGTACACTGGAAAAAGTCCGTCTAGAGTATTTCAGACTCAGTCTTCCAGTGAAATGCAGAGATGAGTTCCTTTCACTGTATGTATTATTATTTATCCAAAAAGTCTCTGATACTACTTTTTGGATTTATTTACACGGATTGGTTCCTGCTCATCCCCGGATGCATCACTGAGATCCGAACCTGCCTGCACTGTCTTAGGGAATCTTCAGCCCTTCTATTCTTATCAAGTGTGGGGGTTTTATCGTCACTTAATTGGAACTTTCTATTATTATTTATTGTGGCTTAGTGATTATTTGTAAATATTGATATTATTATTTTAGAATTAGATTATTTAATAATCAGTAATTATCTGCCATTATATACACCAGGTCCAGCACTATATTTAATAATTAGTAATTATCTATACACTGGGTCCAGCACTATATTTGATAATCAGTAATTATCTTTACACTGGGTCCAGTACTATATTTAATAATCAGTAATTATCTATACACCGGGTCCTTCACTATATTTGATAATCAGTAATTAGTTGTATACACTGGGTGCTGCTCTATATGGATTGCACCAATATGTAATAACACACATACATATTTGATAGAAGGGCTTCACTATAGATGTTGCTCAGTGAGTTAGAGGCTGGATCACTAACCATGAGGTCCCTGATTCGATCCCAGTGTTTACAGAGAAAGTAACCTGGTTTGCTCTTGTTGGTGGTCCAGGACGGATGGGATGTAAAATTGAGGTCACACTTGTACATATGCCTGCACATAAAAGAATTGAATGCAAGTAAGTGGAAACACCATCCACTGTCCCGGCAAAATTTCCCTCTATAGATATTGTTGTTATAATTATATGTTTTTGCAGACGTGATAGAAGTTTAGCGCAGGCTGTGTTGGAGAAGAGGATGAATCTGGAGAATCTGAGGAATCGTGATACAGATATAGAAGAAGAGAACATGACAGGTGGGGAGATATCTAGTAGTCAAGATAATTACAGTGATGCTAACATCAGTGATGCTTCTGTAGAACGTGGCAGTAAAATAATAGCAGGTAGAACTAACATTCCTATCATCGGTAACCCAACAGTCTAATAGGCCTATAAAGGAATGCCTATATATTACGCGCTCAGATGCCTTGTTCTTGAGACAGAAGCCAAGACGTTTAAATGTAGGGTAATATAACAGGCCTATAAAGGAAGGCCTATAAATAACGCGCTCAGATGCCTTATTTATGAGACAGAAACCAGGACGTTTAAATGTAGGGAAATATAACAGGCCTATAACTATAAAGGAAGGCCTAAAAATTACGCCTTCAGACACCTTGTTCTTGAGACAGAAGCCAGGTAATATAACAGGCCTATAAAGGAAGCCCTATATATTACGTGCTCAGATGCCTTATTCATGACACGAATGGAAGCCAGGACGTTGAAATGTTGGGTAATATAACAGGCCTATAAATGAAGGCCTGTAAATTACACGATCAGACACCTTTTTCCTTATGCCAACATAAGCCAGGACCTTTAATTGCAGGGCTAATAATTAGCGATAATTTTATAACAGCCTTTAAAGTTTGCAACCGAGTTCCTTTTTCATGAGACAATCATAAGCCTGGACCTTTAATGGCAAGATTAATAATTTACAATGATCTCATAATGCGATTCATGCTAACAGCTTTTAAAGGAATGCCTATAAAGTTTGTAATCGGGCTCCTTTTTCATGAGACGAACAGAATCCAGGACCTTTAAATGCACAAGTCAAATTCTATGTAGTACAATTTCTGTTTATTACTGAGTAACATTTCAACAAGACTTTTCTAGTTTTTATCAAGCAATGAAACATGATTTGGGTCTGACATTTCATTTATATTTTTCAAGAGACAATACATTGTTAAACTCTAATAATGAAAATATATTTATTTATCCTAGAGTCTCATTTCAACTAGACTTTTCTAGTCTTTATCAAGCATTTAGACGTGACGTGACATTTCATTTATATTTTTCAAGAGAAAATACATTGTTTAACTCTAATGATAATACATTTATTTACCCTAGGGTGAATAAAGACGATAGACAGAAACAGTGTTGGGTTACCGAAGATGTTAAACTCCCCACTAATATCATATAATCTCCTCACTAGTCGTAACAAGCCAGCATGTATATTTAGTGGCATTTAAACCTGTATATCATAGATAATGTAGGGACCAATAAATTAATATAACTCCCCAATTTAACTCTCATTTAAACCAGTATATGATAGATAATTTAGGCCCCAATAAATATTATTACTCCCCGATTTACATGTATTTAGATATTTTAAAGTATTGTCAAAATTTTAAAAACCTGTCGTCCTAATCTAAAGTATATAAAATACACCAGTATTTGACCATCTGGCACGATTCTGTAATGAGGACCTTGCTCCCTGCCGAGGAAATTAAACATGAGTCTTAAAAATGAATAAAACAGGATAGAATTTATTGCTTTGAGGACAGGATACATACAAGATATGAAAATATGAATATGACACCTTTTACAAACTTCACAATGAATATTTCAATCAACTGATAAAAACTTTTATTATTAAGAGAAATCGTTATTTATTGGATAAGACAGGTGATGATTTAGTCGTAGATTTCGATTCCGGATTTGATCAATTATGTAACTAGATTAATTTACCTAAGGAAATAAAGATAATTTTAATTAAGAGAAATTGTTATTTTTTGACTAAGACACAAGAGAGGATTCAGACGTAGATTTTAAGATTTCGATTCCCAATTTTATTAGTACCATCACTAGAATAGTTTTCCTAAGGAAGTAGATTTAATTAGGATTAGTTAATACCATTCCTTGAGTAATAAACACAGCAATGTTGTAGTAGTGCATGGTCAGAATTAGTTTTCTTGTTAGAAGAAGATTCAATCTGGTTAAAACATGGATTCTATTTTGCGTTTTATTAGTCTTCATGTCAGTAGAATCTGCAATATTTTAAAAAAAAAATCCTCTTCTCTTTGATTAGTGAGGTGTGCACTTAATTTTGTGTGATGTCTACTGAGCACTGTAGCACAAATCTGAAATGTTCTCATTTCTGATTGGTCGAAAATTGTGGTCCAATGTACTGTTTTAGAAATGGATCGGGAAGGATTTTATTTAGATAAAATGCGTTCTCTTTGATGTAAGATATTAGCCAATGAAATAGTCCGAGAGATGTGCACTGAAGTATGAGAGATGTTTATAGAGCAGTAGAGATAAAAAATAAAAAAAATTGAATATAATGCAAACAAGTCAGATCTATATGGAGCTGAGGCCATCGAAAGTATAAAAAAATACGAAACAAAATCTGGATGTGTATTTTATTCAGATTGTTTATATTAATGAATTACATATTTTAAAATTGATATATGCATAAGAAGGTGAATGATTATTGCATTACCATGTATAAATGTGGTGATACAAAAGCATGCTCTGTATTCAGATTTCAGTTTGAAAATTTAACAACTATATTATATTCAATTGGATTGTAAAATGAAATGAAATGAGGTTTAACGTCCTACTGTTCTGCTCCTATACATGAACTGGGCTAATGATGAAGGGTATACGCCATACAGTGTGCTATAAGGGAAATTTTGCATACTCTTATATCGAATTCCAACTGCCAAGGGATCTTTTACGTGCATGCCAATGTATACATGCAACCTTGTTTTTTTGTCCCATCCGAACGACTAGACAGCTGTCTTTGCCATGCCCTCCATCCTGCTCCATTGGCAAGGGGAAACCACATTGGAAAATCCTGATGAACTTTCTCGGCCAATGCAGAGATCGAACACACGACCTCCTGACTAGCGAGCCAGCGCCTTACCCGTTAAGCCACTGTGACCCCTTAGTTGGATTTTGAACAGTATATATATATTATTGAGTTTAAATCACAATCATTTATTTTTGTCCATCCAAGTACATATTGGCGTGTACGTAATAGAACCCTTGGCAGTTGGAATCTGTGGACATTTCCTTCAAAAAAATCTTTTCGTGAAATTGTTTTAAATGTTGAAAAGATTCTTGAAATCCCACAATTCAATTTTCAACGAATTATAAATTAGATTTTCACATAGGTCCGGTCTGTATTTTCTCTGAGCCCTATTTAAACACTTTCTTAAATGAAAATATTTTTTTAAAATTATGTTAGTTTATAAAATCGCATATTTCAGTTTTTAAAACAAATTCTAGGGCCTTTCTTAAATGAAATTATTTTCTTTTGAAATTATATTTTTTTGTAAAATCGCAAATGGTAATTCAGTTTTTAAAACAAATTCTAGATATAATTGTTGATGTATTTTATTTAAGTTTACAAGACTGGTAAGAAATACTTTTAGTTGACCTGCAAGGAAATGCTTAAAAAGAAATTAGGTTTTGGTTTTTTTCTCGTTTTTTGTTCCGCTTAGGTCCAGTTTCCTTCAGACACATTTTATTACTGTAGATATACCTCTGTCACAATTAATGCACATTGATTTTATTTTTCCTATATTTTTGAGAAAAAAAAATGAATTCCTGTACATTTTCACCTTTTGAGATTATTTTGGTTTTTTATCCGAAGAAGGGTACATGTAGTTGTAGAGTTAGATAAAGGGTTTATTGGAATATGCATTTACGATGCATGCGCATGCAATATGTTTATAAATTATTTATGAAAAATTAAACACCAGCTTATATAGATGTAATACTCCATTCAACAAGTAACAGAAAATTTGTCTGAGTTCAAAGAAAAAAGATTAAAATTTGGAAAATTTTCTCTTGAGTTCAAAAAAAATAAAAGATCAAAATTACGTCAAATTTATTGGAAGGAAACAGAATTGGGTTTTAAGCAAATTGAACAGAATTTTGGTTTGTCAGATTAAACAATATTATAATCAGTTTTGCCAGACATTCATAAAACAAGCTTTATCATGAAACTACGAACCAAGGAAAGTGGTTTCAGAGCAGTTTAAAACTGAAAACAGTTTCTATTCGATATCTAATACTTTAACAAGCTATGCATGGTGCGTGATGTGTGATTTTTACTAACAGATACTATAAGACGTATTGTTGATGAGAGTAATTTTAGTATTGAGAATGGAGTGCATGATGATGCTACCCCACCCCATCACAGCATGGATTTCAGTCGATTAGAAGATTCTATACCTGATGCTATTCCCGAGGCTAGTAAGTTCTTATTGTACAAAATACCGGTATAGTATTATTATAATTGTTTCAAGTTATTATTATTATTGTGTATAAGAAATAATCAGTCAAAAGGCCAGCACTGATGAATTGTCCTTGATGTCCGGCAAATCAACATCTTTCCAGATGGTCATCAACAAAACTTAAGAAACAATCATCTTTGAAGTTATTATTATTATATATATAAGAAATAATCAAGATAGAGCGTCAAAAGGCCAGCACTGATGAATCATCCTTGATGTTCAGCAAATCAACATCCTTGCAGATGGTCATCAACAAAACTTAAGAAACAATCCTCATTGAAGTTATTATTATTAGGTAGACCGTCAATAGACCAGCTATGATGTTCGGCAAATCAACATCTTTCCAGATGGTCGTCAACAAAACTTATGAAACAATCATCCTTGAAGCTATTACATGTATAAGAAATAATCATAATAGCCAGTCAAAAGACCAGTGCTGATGTTGGAGTTTGGCAAATCAACATCTTTCCAGATGGTTGTCAACAAAACTTAAGAAACAATCATCACTGAAGATGGCTAATATTGGCTCCATGCAGGATAATTAGTTAGAGGGGGGCGCGAGGGTCCTCCGTTGGGTTGTCAGTGACAATTTATTACGCATAACTAAACCCAGATATAACGAAAATTTAAAATTTAAAATTTCAGAGAAATAGAGTAATAAGTACATTTTTTATACTGTTATCTAAGGGGGGGGGGGTGGATGGCTGAATGGTTAGCGTGCGCGCGCTGTATCATAAAGTCTGTCATTGAGTCGACTGGCATGGTTTCGAATCCCCTGTTGTACGTGGTAAGGAGTAGGTTCGCCTGTCCAACCTCGTGGGTTTTCTCCGGGGCCTCCGGTTTCCTCCCACTGCTAAAGACC